AACATCGCACTGCCATGAGCGGCGTGGCTCGGCGCCACAAAGTTCAGTTACTGCGAATGAGAGTGGCTCAAAGGCGGGCCCAGCGCGAGCTGGAAGCCACTGCTGGAGCTGACCTGGCGTCAAGGACTAACTTCTGTTTGATCTGTCGCCTTAACCACCGCACCACAAGGCACGCCCACAACCTCACTGACACCCACCGGGCTATGAAACGATTCCTGACGCCATTCTGCCGTATCTGTCGAATAACCTTCCGTTCTCCAATGATTTATGAGCACCATATTTGCTCAATTGAACATCTTAAGGTTAATTACTGAACCTTTTACTTATAATTTTAACATCTTTTTTGATTGAATACTGACTAATATGTTTTAAATTATGTTATCTTTATTCAACAGAGAAAGGCGAATCAGAGTGCGCGTTGTGCAAGCCCAAAAGCAGAAGCAAGTGGTGATGAAGGAATGGATGTGGACCTGGACAACTTCATGACCCTCGATTCTGTTGGTGATGTTGATGGTAAGATTTAAAATAATCTTATTACATAATATGGACTATATAAAATATATTTCATCTTTGATATACTATATAATTATAATTACTATATATAATATAATTCATCGCTATGCATTCAATTTTGTGCAAAAAATGCATGATGAGGAATTTAATCTGGATGATACAATTATATTTCTCGGAATTACCATGGATTCAAAACTTCAGTAGTCCCCTCATGTTAACGGATTAGCGAAGATACTTAGTTCTGCAGCTTACGCGGTTAAAAAGATTCGCTCACTAACTGATGTCGATACAGCTAGACTTGTTTATTCTAGTTACTTTCAAAGCTTAATGACTTATGGCTTATTATTATGGGGTCATGCTGCTGATGTCGAAACTATTTTCATCCTGCAGAAGAGGGCTATTCGTGCAATCTATAATTTAAAATGTAGGGAATCTCTGAGAGATAAATTCAAGGAAATTAATATACTTACCTTTCCCTCGCAATATATTTATGAAAATATTGTATATGTTTATAAAAATAGTGATATGTTTATTATAATAAATCATATGCATAATGTTAATACTCGGAACAAACGCAGGCTAAAATTTCCCCGTACTAGACTATCTAGAGTTGGTAATTCTTTTTTGGGAAAAGGGACACTTTTCTTTAATAAAATCCCAGAGGCTCTTTTATCTCTGATTTTTAATAAATTTAAGAAATGTATTAAAGAAAAGCTGTGAAAAAATCTTACTATAAAGTTTATTTTTTATTACGATTATCTAGTTGATAAAAGGGCCTGGGACTAGTGCGATATTTGTTTTAAAATATGTGATGTTTGCCAAAATCATTTTGTATGATGATTTGCTTTTTTTAAAAGAGTACCGAGTTTTTTACGCCGGCTTTTTCTCTCGGCCTCGGCTTGATGAGCAGGAAAGTCTACCGATTCAAAATTAATGACATGGAATAAGTGATACCTGTGTCTTACATTCCATAATAAATTGTAATATTGATATTACAGAGGTTGAAGATGAAGATTCAGGCACTGAAAAGAAGGATGAAGAAAAGACCACAAAACCCAAAGTTGAAATGAACATTGGCAGTGAACACATAAAAAAGATAGAGGTATGGTTTTCATAAATTTAAAATAATTGTCATATTTAATACGACATTGTATTGAAGCAATATTTTTTGTTAGTAAAATATAAATACATTTTCATTTACCTTAATTTTAAATGTGGTGTTGGTTTATACTATAAGTGAATTGTCCTACCAGGTTTGGTGGTGTTCTCTTTGTCGCACGTACTTGCCGCGAGCTGAGACTGGCAGTAGTGAGGAAGCGGAAGCTCTCCGGCGTCACTGCCGCCTGCGCATACACCTGCGTCACTACGTGCAACACCGAGACACGCGCACGCTGCGTAAGCAAGCCGAACGCATACATCGTCAGTTACATCGCCATGCGGGTAATAATCTAAATTTATATATTTTACATTAGGTAGAAAAGAAAACCAGTGGTGCTACACACTCGCCATCGACTTTTTGGGTCTAAGGCATACAAGGTTTATGTGCGTTTATAGGTTAAATGCGCACATAAACAGAAAGCCCATTATTGGTGCCCAGCCGGCGTTTGAATCTACGATCTCAGATATGAGAGTCGCATGCTGACGATATAAGAGACCTCCACTATAATTGTACAAAGTATTGTTTATTCTATTTGCAGAGGTAAAGAAGGAAATTGCTAATGAAGAAACTTCTGAGACAAGTAAACAAGAGAAGGCTGAATCTTCTGGAGAAAAAACGGTGGTAGAGAATGGAAATGACTCTGTCAATGCTTCTGGTAAGTTAATAACATTTTATATATTCAGATCTCTTATCATCTCTTGAAAGTTTAACATTAATGTAAATATTTTTTCGTGTGCTAAAGGAAATGAAGATAAACTATGGGCTGATGTTGATAAAGACATAGGAGAGTTGTTGCGAGAAGTAGACCCAGAAGGCAATGAGGCTAGCGACGATGAAGAGGACCTTGGAAGGTAACATATCATGTTCTATAACAGTTAGCATTTTACTAGTCCACTTACTCTAATGTAAACAATTTTAAAAATGTTGCCTATTTTCAGATATGACAAATTCCGTAAAAGCGATAAAGCTAAACCCGTCGCAGAAGAGGAAAACAAATCGAAAGAGGATGTTGTTGCCGACGAAAAAGTCACCGTTGATGCTAGTGCTTCTGCTTAGAAGTGTTGTACTTTAAATTTTTTTGTAACACAATAATATATTTTAGGAACCCTATCGTAGCTCATCACTTAAGGATAAATAATGATGTTGTTTGCCAATATATTTGTTAGGTATGTATGTAGTGTCTGCTATTTTTATTCTAGATAACAATAATAATAAACATTTCCTTTAAATAAGTTTTTATTCTTCTTTTGCTATATTTAAAACACATTTTCAACTCTTCTGTGGAATATACCAGATACATGTTTGTACCTTTTATTTTTCATTCCGATCGTAGGCGTTTGGTTGTATAAGACTAATTTAGTGAAGAAAATATTCATTCGTCGAGAAAATAACCCTAACATGCGCTACCATGTCAGGGCAGCGATCAGAAACAATTAGGCCAAATTTTAGAATTTTGGAAATATTTCTTTTGTAGAATATATAATTATTTTAACGCTGTATTGTAAATAATATACATACATAAAACTTTCTCATGCCAGCCATAAATACGACAGCTCTTCTCTTAAAAAAACATGCCCGTGATTCAAGTAAAAATAACGATTAGTTTGTATAGAACGTGTTATAATTTTTTTATTCAAAATAAAAATGGTTAAAATTTCATGCAACTATGATATGTTTTTATTAAATTTATATATTAAGTTGTCTGTGGTATTTACCTTTTCCGAAAAAAAATCTTGTCTCCTCTCTTGGAAGACACTCCTTAAGCCTCAGCTAGCATCGGAATACTAGCAGTCTCGTGATCATTTGGAAGGATGGGCTAAGTAGCCAGCCACTTTGAAGCTTAGTTTGCTCAGCAAGGCGAGACAGTACTTCTCTCTGCATCTTCTACCGCATTTACCATGGCGAGCGTTCAGAGGAGTTGTTCGGACTAACTGCAGCTGAGTTTTATCATCGGACGTCGAGGCAGAATACTAAATACCATTCCTATCATCTCGACGTCCCTCGTTCCACAACTGACCGTTTCTTAAAGCAGTTTGCCGTGCACCACCACTATGCGCCAGCTACCCACTGAAGTATTTCCGAACCTATTCGATTTAAGAGTCCTTTAAGAAAAGAGCGTATCAATTCTAAAAGGCCGGCAAAGCACTTGCAAGCCTTCAGGCAACGTCCATGGACGGCAGTTAACATCAGGTGAGCCTCCTGCCCGTTTGCCCATTGCTCTATGAATAAATGAGTTACTAAAACAATATTTTTGTAACCGTCAGCCATTAACCCTACAAGGCACCCAGTTCCATATGTGGAACACCGACTTTAATCTTTCCTATAGCTATAAAACTATTAAAAGTGACATCTCTTGCCATCGGTCTTAGGTCTAGAATCCTTGGCTCTGTGACTGAGCCAAAGAAAGAAGAGAAGGCATTTGAAAGAAAAGGTCTTTACGCCTATAGAAACCGGCAATGAGATACTACAAGAAACAAAAAAGGTATATTCAATTGGATTGCCCCAAATAATCAAAACATATAACCAGCGAGGAGGTCCACACCACCCATATGGGTGGTGGATTTCTTCCTAGGGAAACATAAAATAAAAATTAGGACCAGAAAAAGCTACTTGAGGCTATTCTATCATCTTCTTGATGTAACACTTATCAGTTGTTGGTTATTGTACAAAAGAGTCGGAGAGCAGCACCATACGCTGGCTCTAATGAAACATGTATTATTTTTGGTTAATATAAATTAGAATATGTCATAGTAAATTAAGTCATTTTCATTAAAATTATAACTCAGCAATTTAAAAAAATTAAATTGGAAACGATTTCCAAAACAATTCAATTGTACTACTTTAATAACAAAAAGTATAGTTAAGGCTCAGCTGTACCCTATGTGGAACTCAAATTAAAATCTTGATTATTCCGTAAATATGGTTTTATTTTTATAATTTTTCCCTATCTTCTGATCACTAATTACAACACTATTAAAAATATTGAGCCTTGAAGGGTTAAAAGATTTGTTATTATAAAATTTTTGCTAGTTTTAGTCATTAGTATTTAGTTCCATAACTTGCTTACTAATCGGGTTATATAAGGTACCATGACATTTAATGAAAAGGTTTTTTCTTTATCGTCGCGCTGATGAACTAGTAGCTTAGATAAGGCAGATAAAGATGAATAACAATTAACACTACTAGTTTTTCAACACAACATAGGCTCCATTTAGCAGTCTTGTTCTGGGGCAAAAACATTCCAAGTGGTTTTATTAAGAAATGTCTTTATGTGTAAGAATAATAATAATAAAAGAGGTAAGTTTTGTTAAAATCTGTATTATTTTATTCACTTTTTACTCTTAGGTTCCTTAGCAGCAGTTGGTGCCTTAGTAACATCATCAGGGTTTTCTGCAGCATCCTTCAATCTCTTTGCTCGAATTCCAACCAGCTTGGCTATAGAACGGGCCTGCAATAGAAATCATTTTAAGGAACTGCTATAACACTTGTATTGTATGAACCATCAATCATAATACTATTTTGAGTTTATTTTAAGGGAAAGATTCCATTATGCCAAGTAACGAAAATCAGCAACTTGTGTGAGAAATCTGCTGCCACATTTTAAAATGAGGTTAATTTATATAATATACAAATAAAATTCATATTTAAAAGCTAGTATGTAATTTAACTTATTTCTCCTGATCCTACTACTGTTTATAGATTAACATGTTTAGACTTTAGTTTCAACAGACCAAAAATAGGTTTCATTTATAATTAACTGGATTCTGATTTCATATATATATGAATATATCTGATATCTGCCTGGCAGAAAATATCCTTTTCTATAAACTAGCATTACACATAATAAAATTGTACATACTCCTCTCAAGTATTGGTAAGCCTTGAAGTCTTTCTCTTCTTCTGTGATAGCTCTAGCCACTGACTTGGGAGCAGATTGTTGTACTGGCATAAGAGGGCCACGCAGTTGCTTAGCTAATTTACGTTCTTCTTCATTTGCTTCACCCTTAAGAACCTGGAACCAAAAATAAAAGTACATTTTATTAGCATTTGTAGTTGTAATACTGGCACAAAGGGTAAGTGTACAACATATAAATATTTATTTAGTCAAATATAAACAGAAACAACTTTTCAAAAATAAAATGTTTTAAGCAATTTTTTTTAATTATAAAGTAAAATTTTAACTGTTTAAATCTTCCAGCATACCTTCTTGCCCTTAGGGAACAAAATGAGGCGAGCACGGTACTCTTTCAACCTCTGTACATTGATCTGTAATGATTCAACAGACTTGTTACGACGACGTGGATCCACAGCAATACCAATTGTTCTGGCAAAAGCTGGATTCAATCCAGATGCCTAAAACAAAAATGATAACTGATAAAATAAAAACCTTTAAAACCCCTATTTTTAAACTATATATAGATATGTAGTTTTAAATTATGTTTCACTTAAATAGACAAACCATTAACCAAAACAGAAGTGGATTTTTTATAAGATAACCTTTAAAAAGTTATAAATAATAAATTAATTGATGACATAAACTAAGTATTAATAATTATAGTGATTAGTGTTGGCTGGCGTTTTCCAACTTTCTTAATAACAATATTTTTTTCTATATTTTACTTAATGATGAAGCCACCATTATGGTATAATTACTTAAGACTAAAGATACAAGAAAATAAATACTAACTCTGATTTCTCTGAGGGTAAATCCTCGGCCAGCACGAACTTTAGTGTGATAACGAACTGTAGGGCATCTGACAACCGGTCTGAGAGGACCAGCAGCGGGACGTGGGGCAATGGCTTTAGCCTTCTTGATACGATTTTGCTTTCTACGGTGTCTTCTGGCTGGTTGGTTAAACCAAGTTTTTACGAATCTTTGCCAATCCTTATGGAAATGGCCATTAGGCACCATATTATTTCCCTTCCCCATTTTTGGTTAGTTTTCTCACTTTACCTAAAAGCAAATTTAAAAAAATAAACTTAATTATTGTAACTTAACACATTTAAGTGATTCAAAATATACAAAACACCTCAAATAATAAAAGGATAGCAAAAATAATGAAAGATAAATATTTCACTAACCACTGTGAGAAAAACGTCAACTGAAAAGACAAAATAATCAAGAATATTGACCAGGGTTGCCACCTCTAGAACTTTTTCATCGTACACAGTACAGAATACACGTCTGATAATCTCGTACTAGGGTTTTCTAATGGGATTATGACATTAAACATGTTAGGAAAGGAACAAATATAGTAAATGTACAACAAAAATTTACAGTCCGAATAAAGCAAAAAAAACATGAGGGGCACTAAGTGCGTTTTCCAATTACAGAGCATTTTGCGACTCAGTGCCGCACAATGCCGCATAATGCAGGGGGTCTAGCCATATTGGTGTCGAAAAGTATTCTACATACACTACCGCTTTTGCGAAATTGTACTGTCGAAAACGCTTCGTTCGTAGCCTGTCGAGAGGCATGTCGATACATTACCGCAAAGTCGACAGCGTAGATGCGAGCTGCTGTTCGTAGCACCTTATTCCGTCATATTGTCTCTGGATTAAATGTATTCCTAATGTCACTTTTATAAACAAATAAAAGTTAAAACTACAATATTATTGTTAATTTGCAATAATTGCAAATTCCAATAATTGGAAGCTGCAAAAGGGACATTAGAATGTCAGCAAGGTCGGAACAATTTTCGATTTAAGTGGAATTTACGGAAGGTGTAAAGTGAATATATGAATTTTAATTGCATGTTTAAATTACTTATGGTTTGTTTCATGTTTTCTCAGATATTAAAGGCTACAAATAAATACAATATTTTGAAATTGCATAATCGCGATAGGTATATAATAATTAGTAGTACTCATACTTTGATATTTTTAGGATTTGACCTCACAACTAATCAACTAAACAATAGAAATAGTACTGTGGATTGATAAATAAAGAGTGAAAATAAGGTTGACTAGAAGTTGATAAGGAATAGAAGGATAGTCCAAGAAATTAAAAAACAATAGAAAAAAAACGTAGACTAGTGTGAACACTGAAATTAGAGTTTGATTTAAGCTTTAATTAGGTTTGGTGTTTGTGCTTGAAAATTTTTAATGTCAATTTGAAAGCAGATTTATATATAAGTGTAGATTTTATTAGTGATTTGCTACTAGTTGGAATTATCTCTGTTTATGTCCAACAAACAATTTTAGTTTAAGTTAGAGTCATAAAGGTTGATTGTTGTGAATTGAAAAGCAGCAAGTACTCAATGAAATGAAAAGAGGGATTAATAAAAATTATAAAATAGAAACTTAGTCTGGTATGAAATTAAAAGCCTTACTCAACCTTTGATTCCATATTGATGCTCCAACATCTTAGATATAAATTTAAGTTTGATGCTGATTTTAAGTAAATATTTATGTCAATTAACTTTTGGTTATATCAGTGATTTGCTACTAGTTAATATTTAAATGCAAAATCTGTTTAAGTAAGAAATGAGTAAACATTGTATGTTATGTATTTGTCAGTTTTATTTTTAGTAATTTACCTATGTCTTCTTTAGTAGGAAAAGCCATTAAAGTGGTTAACAATATTAGTTTATTTTACAAGAATATACAGATAATGCATATATGAATGACCCGTACCTACTAATAGTTAGGAATATTAAACAAATAGGTAGCAAAATAAAAATGTTTCAGTTATGGTTATTTTTTATTAAAATAAGGCACCAAATATCTTCCTTAACATAATGCAGTCTACATAGAAAAATAAGCATATGTAACAACTTATTAAACAATACAGACATTACTACTGAAGACACACAGGTGCACCAAATTCAATGCATTACTACATAATGTAGATAATTAACTAATAAATGTAAGTGTTAATTTGCAGCAAAGTCAATATCTTGTTTGTGTGCTGTTATATACAAAAAATTGTTCAATTTGTGATGATTTCATAAAATTACTATGATACCTACAGTTATTATGAATACATCCTGGGCGATTAAAAAAACAGTGATTGTTTCCTTAACACAACAATTGTAAATAATAATAGTTATTTTAAAGATGTAATTCTTCCCAAAATCTACAAATCCAGTTTGTTTATAATAATATCTCATTAACATTCAAACTGCTGAACATATTAAGATTAAATGTGGAAGAACATAGTTTCAGTTACTGTTTCCTGTTCATGAGGTAATGTTACTTAACCAACCATTATTTCATACTCCACTTGTCTTATTTTTTACATTATTCATAAAATGCTTTATTCCCCATTTTCAGGTACATAATATATAACACTTAAATTAATTAAAAGATAAGACTAATAAAACTTGACCATTTGTGGTTTTTTTAAATATTTTTAGTTGTCTTATTAGCTTCTCTTTTTCTGAAAAGAAAATATTTTAGTTAGTACTTTGATCAAATAGAAAACTGACAAAGTAAACTAAGATCGGTCCAAGGTTTGTTCAATAGGTAACTTTAATATTAAAACTCTAAACTTAAAAATATACTTAATTTGTCACTTTGCTGCTTATTGTCAATTAAAGTTTTTAATAACCAAACAATGTCAGTAACTCCCAAGGGACTTGAATTCAAACTTCTCATTCATTAACAATATTATAATAACTTCTCTAGTATATTGACTTAGTAAATAATTAAAGAAAATATCTGCTTACCATTAGGTACTTAGTATTGCTCACTAGATTTTATATTTCCAATGTTCATAAAGTATAAATCCACTTTATTTGATTAATTTAAATCAATATTATATCATTATCAGCTTCTGTTATAATTACAATAAAATATATTTAGAACTTCTAATTATGTTCATTAGTGACTGCTTTCTCATCTGAAATATACAAATAAAATGTACAATCATTTTACTTTGTGATTACATAATATATGCAATATTAAATGGTATATGTATTTTTCAAATTAAAGAAAAATTTCATGAACTTACATGCAATATAAATATCAAAAAAATATATCCAATATAACTAGGATTTACCTCTACTAATTTGCTGATTTTCTTGATATTTTCATATTTATCTGTGTCTATTATGTTATCCTCGCATTGATTCATAGAAAAACTAAAACTCTTAACTTAAAAATATTAACTCTAGTTTAAATTATTACCTATAATTACACGAGAACGGTAAAAAAGACAGATAACAAATTAAAACCATTTCGTTAAAACGTCCAAAATATGACATGTTTTTAAAACGGTAGCCATTAAAGATGGCAATAGTTGTACTGAATTATTGCAAACAGCAGCTTTTGAGATCACGCTAAAACATGGCGGAGAAACGCCGTTTTTTCTACACTGCCGAAACATTAATTGGCCGTTGGCTACCGAATAGCGTAAGCGTTAATGTGTGTCTTTTCGTAGCACTGTCATGGCGTCGCTTATTGTATCCCGACTCACGCATTTAGGGCCTAGGCTACCGACTGTCGACACGAGCTGTCATTTTCATACAAATTTAGTTTTCGACTTTCTACATACATTACTGTTAAGCCATCTTGGCTAGACCCCCTGAAGCTTAATTGGAACGTGAATTAGTTTTCAAATGCATCAGCAGAGTGCGCTAAGTCAGTGTTGACAAAAAAATGGTCTGAATAGAGTTAGCAACCTCATTAATGTATAAATAATGTGGTAAACAATAATAGTTGGTTGAAAACTTTTTACGCTTAATTAAATAATCAAATTATTTCATTAAATTTTTTTTACTGCAATAAGAGAAAACCTTTAAAGAATATAAGGTTTTAACAAGCTAAATTAACAGTAAAATATTAAGTTTCATGTAAGAAGTTTACATCATTTACGTTTTGAGTAATGTTTTTTAATGATTTCTAAAAAATTATATACTTTTTCAAAACCATTGCAATTTTTTCTAAAGTATAATCCTGTAAAGTAAATTTGTTTACAGATCCGAATTTTAAAATAAAATTGTATTCATATTTTAAATGTGGAATATAAAAAAAGTAACTATTTATACCTTCATCCATACTAATATTTATTTTTTTTAGCAGTTTGAAATAACTTTAATTATTTTCAAAATCTACGACGAAACGAAAGCCTTACAAATTTTTCAACAATAAATAATATTTACTAACGAAAATTTCGATAAATGCCAACTTAAAGAAAAATACTGGTAAATTTTCTGTCACTGTGTTGGTATTGTTTGCGAGAGCATTCGTTTTGAGAGTGCTCAATTGTGCGAAGCGTTGCTGTAGTTGGAACACTCAACGTTGAGCATTATGCCGCAAAATGCGCTCTAGTGCTGTAATTGGAAAACGCACTAAATATGCACTAACAACTAAACTTAGAATTTTTATAGTCTACAATCGATTTGAAGAGCATTTCATTTATAAAATATTTTTTTGACATACGAGAGCCAAAGGAAGTCTCGATTTCAAATCTGACGTAAGTCTCAGAACCGAGACAAAGCGCCGTGTATTGGATTTGGTGTACGGGAGACAGACTTAGCGCTGTCTCGTTGCTGAATCTTTCCCTTATTGCCCATCCACACTCTAACTCACTTTGTTGTAACCTACTGCACTGTAAGGACGCGCTGGTTTTCTTATCATTAACAGGAAAAGCTTAAATTAAATTATATTCATACTGGCATAATATGATATTTGGGGATGGTGTTGGTGGGCATCGCTGAAGAAGTGAGGTCAGCAATGCCTAGAAAAAGCCAAAAAACCATCTGCTATGTTATGTAGAAGAACACTAGTCATCCCCGTCCTAGTCGTCCACCCTGGAACATGATTAAGCCACGCTTTCGCGTGCCCACTACCTAGAGCTGCAGATCAGCTGAGGATGCAGGGCAAAAGGCAAATATTCTGCGCCTTCACACGGAATTCACTCACTAGGGAGGTAACCAGCATAAAACCGAGCTTGTCTAAAAGCTCTAAATTGGCAGCCCCCATCTGACTAGGGCACAGTGGATTAATCTCCTGCTTGCCTGAAAAACCAACAACGATTCAAGAAACCGAAAAAGTGAGAAACCGGATCGATCTTTTACCAGCAACCTTTAGCATTAAATCCCAGACACGAACCGCTTTTTGGAATATAAAAACGCTACGCAACGACACTCGTCTATCACAAGCAGAAGCAGAAATGATTAGATACAATCTGCAAATACTTGGTATAAGCGAAGTGCGTAGAAATGGTTTTGGTGAACTGAGAACGTCCAAAGGCCTTACTCTTCTATACTCCGGGATGGAAAACTGAATTGAAAACTGGCGCTCGTCGCTCCTCAATGTTCGAAATCGAAGAAGGGCTGATATTGAAAGCGACCATCATATGGTTGTTGCCGAAATGCGACTCGAGGTTGCGGTTGCGGGACCAGCTCCTGGTAACACAATAAACTATGAACAAGTTCAGACTTGAACTTCGTAACCGCTTCACCAGACTTCACGCTGACGATGACTCAATAAACGAAGAGTGGAAACTCATCAAAGTGGCCTACACAGAGACCAGCCTTTTCGCCTTAGGTCACAATAAGAACTCGCGCGAGGATTGGTTGTCACAAGCCACTTGGCAGCTGATAAACGAACTCCACCTAAAACTGCTAGGAACCAACGACGAACTAGGTACTACAAGCAGATTTGTAAGAAAATCTATCGCAGCTCGCGAAATGACAGAAGGTTGTGACTTGACGGTATTGTTGACCACGCTCAAATTGCCGCTAATACCGGCAACATGAGAGAACTATATAAAGCAACTAAAATCTTCACAGGGAAGAGAAGTCAGCAAAAGAAGCCTCTAAAATCAAAAGATGCCAAGATGTCAGCTTATCGTAACATCAGAAGGATAACTACGACGCTGGCGTGAGCACCTTGAGGAAACCTTTCGTCCAACAACAGGCCACTTGACATCGATGTCGAACCACCTATGATATCACCACTTGATGAAGTACCGAGATCAGTCAGGGGTCTTAAGACTGGTAAAGCACCAGGATTTGGCTACCACCATCGACACGCTGACACCTTTGATTGGCAAAAACTGGACCAGTCAGAAGCTTCCGGAGGACTGGAACAGGGGCCTTCTTATAACTGTGCCCAAAACAGGTGATCTAAGTGATTGCAGCCATTGGAGAGGTATCAACTTGCTCTTGGCCCCTTCCGAAGTGTTCTGCGCAATTATCTTGCACAGGTCGTCTGCAGCCGTCGAGCCTAACCTTCGCATAGAACAAGCTGGCTTCCGGCCTAATCGCTCGTGTACCGACCAAATTAATACTCTTCGTATCACTCTCGAACGGGCATCAGAATGGCTGGGGGAGATTTATCTTACCTTTGTTGACTTTGGATGGCTGAGATGGAGCAGCATATGGTCACGACTATCTAACATTGGTGTCCCGCCAAAGATAATTAACCTAGTAAAGGCCAGCCTCGTCTCAGACGATATTCAAGTGCCTCGCCACTACTTTCTCAGGTTGTTACCGACGGGATTATGCATCGCACACATCAGAACAAGCACCGCGGAAGTATGGACTGCACCCCATTACGGGTAAGTGTAGAGCGTCGTGTCTGAAACTGGAGGTACAGAAGAGGACATCACTTCACGCATTGCCAAGGCCCGAGCAACATTTTCACAACTTCGACCTGTATGGCAAAAATATTCGGATCGGTTAAAATATTCGGATCCAACGTCAAATCTGTGCTGCTCTATGGGTGTGAAACGTGGAAGATCACCAAAGACATCTTGCACCGACTCCAAGTCTTCGTCAATCGCTGTCTTCACCGTATTCTGGATATTTACTGGCCTGAAAAGATCTTTAACGAGCAACTTTATGAGCGCTGCCGAGAAACCCCAATCAGCCAGCAGATCCAGCGACGCAAATGGAATTGCATAGGCCACACACTCAATCAATTATATATAGTATCTCAATCAATTTCCCAAGCAGGCGCTTGATTGGAATCCGCAAGGAAATCGGAAACGTGGCCGTCCTAAGCACACCTGGCACCGTACAGTTGCAGACGAGGCAAAGAGAGCTGGAAAGACTTGGAGCGAGGTGAAATACGAGGCTCAAGACCGAAAGCGATGGAGACTCACTGTGGACGCCCTCTGCTCCATCATTATAATATTGGCACATAAAGTAGCTAATGCAGACATTCCAATTAGGTTCATCTTGTAGTAGATGTAGCGACTAGCGAGCAACTAAATAAAGCGAAGAGTGTGGATGGCCGCTACTCGTGCAACCTCGACTCGCTAACATTTGCGGCGAGGGTCTCGTGAGAGTCTGGAGCCGCCTTTAGATTAAAGCTTACCAAAAGATTCTGTCGCAAGCATAGTATTATTATACTATATATAGTCACATAACAGAAGTAAATGTCAAATCTTTAAGTGCTGTGACTCTTGAGAGTGTAACCAACGATCAATTTAGTGCTAATCTGTGCTCGTTGAGTAAATTATATTGCTCGGCAGTCGGCACTCGGCTCTAACAATACTGAATTTATTACTTATTAATCTAACAAAGGGTGAAAATGGAAGATAATAAGCTGACTCAAGAAATGAATACCCAAATTCTTAATGACGAAAAAAATTCAAAGAAAAAAAATAAGAATAAGAAAAAGCGTAGCGGAGATGGAGACCATCGAGCACCGGCCGTGGAAGGTACGGTTGCGCTCCCTAATTCTACCGATTTGCAGCAAAATATTTATGTAAAAGATCTTAAAATGGCTATGGAAGTATTAAATTTGCAACAAAAACCTGCTAAAACAACTGAGGAAGCTTTACATAAATCATATCAGTTTTGGTCTACACAACCAGTTCCTAAAATGGATGAAAAAATTCTTTCTAATGAACCTATTGAGGGTCCTAAATCTACCGAGGAAATAAGACAGGATCCTTACACACTACCAGATGGATTTCAATGGGACACTTTAAATTTAAATGAACCCTTGGTGTTAAAAGAACTCTACACATTACTGAATGAAAATTATGTAGAAGATGATGATTGTATGTTCCGTTTTGATTACCAAACTGAGTTTTTAAAGTGGGCTTTACAGCCTCCTGGTTGGAAAATGGATTGGCATTGTGGTGTACGTGTTGTAAAATCAGGCCGCTTAGTTGGTTTTATTTCAGCAATTCCAGCTCAACTAAGAATTTATGATAAAGTCCAAACAGTTGTAGAAATAAACTTTCTGTGTGTTCATAAAAAGCTTCGTGCTAAAAGAGTAGCACCTGTGCTTATAAGGGAGATAACCCGCAGAGTTAATTTAGAAGGTATCTTTCAAGGCGTATACACAGCTGGAATTGTTTTACCAAAACCCATAGGAACATGCAGGTATTGGCATAGGTCCTTGAACCCAAAGAAGTTAATTGATATAAAATTTAGCCACCTTTCAAGAAATATGACTATGCAAAGAACCCTTAAACTTTTTAAATTACCAGATTTACCTAAGACACCAGGTTTTCGTAAAATGGAACCCAAAGACAGTGACAAAGTTGTAAAACTATTAAATGATTATTTGCAAAAATTTGACCTGGTGCCAATATTTACTGAAAATGATTTCAAGCATTGGTTTACTCCCATAGCTGGTATAGTAGATAGTTTTGTTGTGGAGGCACAAGATGGTTCAATTACTGATTTTGTTAGTTACTATACTCTCCCATCCACTGTGGTCTATCACCCTGTACACAAAACACTGAAAGCTGCATATTCATTTTACAATGTATCTACGGTGACGCCATGGATTGATTTAATGCTTGATGGTCTAATCACTGCCAAGAATTTAGGTTTTGATGTATTTAATGCATTGGACCTGATGGATAATAAGGAATTCTTGGAACCTCTGAAATTCGGTATTGGTGATGGAAATTTGCAATACTATTTGTATAACTGGAGATGCCCTAGTTTAGGACCTAATAAAATTGGTTTGGTCTTGCAATAACATATTTATTCATAACTTTATTTATAGTTAAATCATGTAGTAATTGCATTATTTTTCACTTTGTAGTGTTTTTATGTATTAAATATATAGCTTCAGTTTAAAAATGTCTTTTTTTATGTTGGTATGAATCTTTACACACTGTCGCTTGTCTTGTTGAAACTTGAAACAGTGACACTGATACTTGCTAAATGCTAATAGATTTTTCTTGTTTGTATGTTTTGTCAATTTCAACAAACTTAATAAAGCTCAATTTTCTGCAATGGCAACCTATATGGATAAATTAATAGGTAATGTTAACGAATATTTAAAAAAATTAAGAAATGGTTTATCAAAAAGTTGAACAATACTATCTTGTGCCAAATTATTAATTTCTTATACCAATTGCGCCATCTATGATTAGCATGAACTTAATACATATTGTAAGTGTGGAAACTGATAATAATTGGCCGTCATCATGTTAATTGTATAATATTGAACCTTTTTTAGCTGTAAGTTTCCCTAAAATTGTAAAATAAAATATCGGCGATATCTTTTTTAAATTATTGTTAAACTCTCAAGGCCAACATTACTGCCTTCAATCTTCGTTAGTTACTTGGTTTCATCATTGGAATCGCCAATAAGATTTTACGATAGGTTTCCCTAACCCTTCAAATGAGACAGACGGAAAATTAGTATCTACTAACCCATTTTACAAATCACAACTAGAAATTAGGTCTATCTCGTCTTATATCCTTTTCTTACCAATTTAACATTAGGACTATAGAATATTACTCATAATGTAGTACACATTATGAAATGAAAGACTAGATTTTTTTATTTTATAAATATAATATGTAACAAAGGAATACATATTGCCAGTTACATTGGCGACCATGTTTTCAATACAAGGTAGATAAATATCCAATGCATAACTGGCAGAAAAAATACATTGCAAGAACAAAAGCCAACTCCATATTAAGGATAAGGAAATTAAAGTGAACTTTAAAGACTTAACTTAAAATAAACTTCTTGGTCAAAGTAGAAAGTCGAAAGGTGCCCAGTTATATATAATAATATAGCCTATAATGACAATATATAAATGTTGACAGTTGCAATGTTTTTGTTTGTGGATGCACATCCTATTATGCTATAAATGTGTTTAGGAATAATGCTCTCCACATATTTTAATTTTTTTTTACAATTTTTATTTATTAGTTTTTTATGACCGGGACTCTTTACATTACGATGTAAAAAGCAAAAATAAAAGAAATTAGCAAAGAAAAATAAACAGCTCTGAAATGAGCAAAAAAATTATTCCTTCTTTGTGGCTTGCTGTTTAGCTTGGTGAGCTTGCAAAACAGCAACAGCCTCATCTACCTTAGCCTTTAGAGACTCCCCATGTTCTAACATGTGAAGAAGCTCAGAATTATCAATTTCCAACAGCATGCCAGTTATTTTTCCAGCCAAGTCTGGATGCATCCTTTGAATAAGTGGGAATAAACGTTCTCCTAACATTTGTTTTTGTTCTTGTAAGGGGGCAGCAGCTAACATAGTTGCAGTTAAGGGTTCTTGACCTTGGATATGAACTGCAGGTTGTGGTGCTGGAAGATTACGAATGTTAGACGTATATTTGTAACCTGCTGGTCTCCCACTTGTCACAATAGGAGCACGGATAGATTGCGCAGCTGGTACACCTTGTTGGCCTGTTATAGGTCTAGCACCTAGTGATGTGCGCAGGGTAGCCTGAGTTGGTCCTCGAGGGGCCGGACGGAATGGTGCCTGCATATTTGGATAAGCAGAAGCAGCAGCCTGAGTGCTAGGTCTTACAGGAGGTTGAGTCCAGCGCGGCGAAGGTCTAATTTGGGTCATTTGGGCTGGACCATAGAACCTTTGTGCAGGAGGTATTGTTGGGACAAAGTAACCACCAGCACTACCAGGTTGGAACATTTGTCCCATCTGTTGCATTCTCATACTTGCCATCCGTTGCATATATTGTGAAGTCAAATGAGCCTTGCGATCTTCTTTTCTTTGAGCTAATGCCACGTAGAGGGGCTTAGTGCCAACAATACGCCCATTCATCTCTGTAACAGCTTTAGTAGCCTCTTCAGGTGATGAAAAGCATACAAACCCAAATCCTTTACTGCGCCCATCTTCAAGCATTACCTGTATAATTAATTACAATATTATTAAACATCAACATAAAATAATATCATTCACTGATTGAAACAGAGGAGTAAAGATCTTTTGATTTAATGCATTGGCTTTGTATTAGAACAGAAAATTACCTTAGCAGATGTTATAGTTCCAAATGGTGCAAATTCCTTACGTAGACGTTCATCATCAATAGTATCATCCAAGTTTTTGACATAAAGGTTTACACCTTGGTAGCGAGTTAAACGTTCAGACTTCAGTTGTTCAAATTTACGTTTGAGTTCTTTTTGACGCTCAGCTTTCTTTTGTGCCCGACCTACATATAATGGCTTGCCTTCAACAAGTTCTTTTCCATTAAGCTCCATGCAAGCTCTCTCAGCACAATCAGGATCTTCAAAAGCAACAAATCCAAAACCTCTAGAAGCTCCATCGTCTTTGTACATCACTTTATGGCTTGTGATGCGTCCATATTTTTCAAACATATCCTTAAGCATTTCATCAGAGTAGTCTTCTCCAAAATTCTTAACATACACATTTGTAAAGAGCTTGGCTTTCTCTCCCAATTCCTTTTCACGTTCCTTACGAGGAATGAATCTACCAACGTAAACTTTCTTGCCATTGAGCAGCATACCATTTACTTTGTCAATTGATTTATTAGCTGCTTCTTCTGTTTCAAAATGTACAAATCCATATCCCTTAGAACCTCCATTTTCATCTTGAGCTACCTTGCAACTTAATATATTACCAAAGGCAGAAAAGGTATCATACATAGCTTTATTATCTATAGATTTATCAAGATTTTTAATGAACACATTTCCTACTCCCGATTTACGTAGAGAGGGATCACGCTGCGACCACATTATCCTTATTGGTCTACCTTTTATCATGTCAAAATTCATAGAATCCAAGGCCCTCTCAGCTATAACAAAAGAAAAGAGTATTAATATGTTTAGTTGAAACTTGCTATAGGCAAGTAACCTATTGAAGCGTACATCAGTGATACATAGTATTACACAAACAAAATTAACTATTTCGAAGGAATACCAAATTTTTGCCTAAAAATATAAACCATTACAAACTTGTTAATAATAGTAATTAGTTAAGAACCGGTACTAGTAAATAAAAAGAAACTTAATAAGCGATGATGAAGCAAAGATGTAAAATAACCAAAAAAACAGTATTTACTTACCATCTGCGGGTTGTTGGAAATTCACATATGCGTACCCCAAAGATCTACGAGTTATCATGTCACGACATACTCGAATAGAGAGTACAGGACCCGCTGTAGAAAACTTTTCAAACAACATGGCCTCTGTAATATCAGAGTGCAAATCCCCGACATAGAGAGATGCCATCGGGTAATTTGGTGGCCCGGGATTCATTTTAATTCTTTTAATGGAATCGTAAAAAATATAGCATTAATAAGTCTCTGGTGTTTAAGCAACTTCACTTTCTCTTGACGCTTATCTATCGCATTCCTTAGACCACGTTGCACGCTTACGCACACTAACTTATAATTGAACGATTCCCGTTTATTTTATATAATTTTTCTATTTTTTTGGGTTTTTGTAATTTTGTGTTTTTTTTTATATTTTAGAACAATGTTTCACGAAATTGTGAAGATTGTGTGACCTATTTTGAGGAACCACACAACCTCACGTGAACACACCTTGCTCACCAAAGGAAAGGTGACGTTTTGCCTTTGGGCAAAATCCAATATGGCGAACAACCAAAAAACAAGGGAAGCGAACACGTTCGAATACGTTTAGAAATTGTAGTTTAGTTTATGTTTTATGGAAAACAACTTTTTATTTTATATTGTGTTTATATATTTTCAAATATAATTGTTTTTAACGACATTTATGCTATGATCAAGTTCAATGTGTAATTTATTCAAAAGGCCAAAAATTTGCCTCATCCTTCAAATCTAAAGGAGGTTTAGCTTCTTAGTTAAGTATATTTTCAATTAAATTTACAATCATAGCGGAAAGGAATAAAAATAAATAGAAAAAAATTTGCTCTAGAAAAAATGATAATCCTAAATACTTTTTTCTACTTATGTTTATGAGCATAGAGCTTAAATATGGAGAAACTTAGATAAGAAAAATTTAAAGCCTGTTTTTTTTTTGAGTTTATAAAGCTAAGTCTAGTATCCAGACCTTTAGGCTTTAGGCCAAAATTTAAAGCCTATATATATATGGGGCCACAGAAACTTAGCGAGACATACCACAGGCTTTTAGATAAAGTGATGTAGCACTACTAGATTATTATTAATCTGTGGATATCAACGTCAATGACAGATCTTTAATATAAATTACGAAAGTCGACAACCGATTTTTTTATATCTTGAAAATCAAGATTGAAGTCTTGATTACATCGATGATTGGAGTTTTAGTGTCTACACTTTTATTGTCTTTACGGTGATCTTGATATATGATAGGCAGGTATACTGGAAGTAAGTTCAATATATTTATTTCTATGAGACTTGGTTTACTGAACGGCATGAATGTTTCGATTGTTCGCTAAATATTTTTATTTTTCAATCAGCAGGTGTAATATTGTAAAATTATTGCTTATTTCTTTCTCTTTGTTAAATTAACCATTATTAAAACAACATAAGAAGATGCCATATCTTTATTTTACATATGTATGAATAATATTTATGAATAGTTATTATATGGAAATTAAAGCATACCCACAATATCATTTAAAGATAGAAGTTCCCAGGACTGCGATTATCTAATACTGTTACAAGAACCTACTCGGTGAAAATTGCAAATTTTTCCTCCAAAATAAATATTTGTTTTTATTTTTCTCTATATAAATAAAACAAACTTTCTAAGAAATGTTTAGAAAATTTTAACCAAACATTGCTTATTTTTAATAAAATATTGTATAAAAGCATAAATTATTATTTATTATTAGATTTTATGTGTTCTAAATACATCTACATGCTTACAATATTGCAGTTACTGATTTAATCCAATTGCTGGCTTAATTTTTGAATGACATCAAATCTTCAATCATACTATGTGTGCATGTTTTATTTAGACCACATAAAGTTACTATGTTCTTAGCTGTTTATATTGTTTTCATTCAACAGCAATTATTTATTTATCTTGTGTAGCAATTATGAGATCCCTAGATATTTGTATAAATAAGTAAGTGTTTCCGACTTCCACACAAAATATAGAAAGTTTATTTAAAATGATTTCAGGCCTTGGCAATGGCTGACAAGGACCAAATTATTCAGGCCTTACGTGCAACTCTTATTTCAGTTAAGGGAGCATTGACTCTAAAAGAGTGTAACCGTAAGTTGTTGAACTTTATTGTTTGATGAATTTTATATATTCCTTATAGAATATATTCTATTTTTAGTTCTTATATTGTTTATTTGCCCAGGTGATTACAGAGAACTGCAAGGGGAGGCTATACCTTATAAACGATTAGGATATTCATCACTTGATAAATTATTCCAAGATGTCCCTGGTTTTAAATTAAAAGAAATAAATGGGGAGTGGTATGTTGATGCGATTGCAAGTCGAGAGACTCAACATATAGCAACAATGGTATCTCGACAAAAATCTAATAAAAAGCCAGCAAAGTTGAACTCTCCAGTGAGTGACCTATGGTTTACTGATGTTATACTATTTTGTTTATTAATTCTTTATTATATCTTAATATATATTTTTTAGGGTCGTTTTCCAAGAGCCAAACAAGGGTCATGGAGGAAGCCTACTTCATTATCAAGTTATGAATCTAACTGTAATAACATGTTGTACAGAGCTAAAACACCATATAATAATAACAATAACAGCTATAATGGCAAAGTAATTTTTTTTTTATTATATGAATTATTAACACATGTAATATTGAAATAATCTTTAAACAAAAAAGTATTTTATAAAGGGCACAATATACATTAAAAGTTTTTTTTAATTTAGAATTTTAAATTTATGTAAAAATTATTTGCACCTGATTATTAACTTTAATATGTTTTTTTGTGCAATCAAATTTACTTCAAAAATTAGTTTGAAAAAATAGGAAAGTAGCTCTTAAGCATAATATTAATTTTAAAAACATTGTATCATGATTTTGTGTAATTACAGTTTAACAAATATAGTAAATCATTTGAAACGAAAACGAATACTCATCATAATTCCAAGCAGCCATTGATGAGAAATACGAGCACAAATTATGACAAAAGTGCTGTAAATTCCAAGAGCAATATGCAAATAAAACCGGAAATCACTTATAGTGCAGAGGTAAACAAAATTTTACAAAAGAGTTTTAATTATGATTTGAAGAAGCTGTGTGTTTACCTTACCTACCCTACCAGAAATGAAAATATTATGAAACTGATAAAAAGGCTGAAGTTGATGAACCCACTCAAAAATGTAAATATTACTCCCCTTTTCAGACTAAGCATTCCACAAAAAATGAAAAAGAGACTGACTTTAGGAGTTCTAGTAAAACACCAGCATCAGAAAGACTAACAAATTTTATGGATAGACTGAATACAGTTGATCTGATTCCATTGCAACTGCCAGCTCATAAGGAACAATGTGATTCTACTAATTTTTTGGTAAATAAAGTACATGTATATTTCTAATTGTAAATAAAACATTACCAGTTACAATTATTTTTCTTTTAGGTAGAAAATGATACAGTATCACATGCAGTGGCATGTAGTTTAGAACCTCCTCCCGATTCAACATCAGCTATAGTACGACTGGAATGGATTTGTAAGGAGCTGGGTCTACCGCAACCAGTTTTTAAAGTTCAAGATCTGAGTAGTCTAAAAGAAGGCCCAGACTATGCTTGTAAGGTCCAGGTAAGAGTTATTAAGGATGTGATATATGCTAGTAGTTGAATTAAGCTATTTCTGGAAATATCTACATATATCGTTATAAAGACAAGAATTGCCAATACTATTCTATTAACTAAAATTGTTGAACCTAAATATTATGTTTTTTCTTTTTCACTTCTGTGGCAATTTGAAAATTAATTAAAGGTGTTGTATAACTATTACAGTAAATGTATGTATGAGTAACATCATTAATTGTCTTTGGCAGGTTGGTTCGTATTTAGAATCATCATACCCAGAACCTTCGTCATCTGAGGAAATATCAAAAGAACTTGCATCTGAGAAAATGCTCCACGCTATTCAGAGTTCTGACGCGGGAAGGCTTCCTACATCTTCTAATAATAAAGCGCTGCTTGGTCTAACCGAAGTTGTGTTTGAACACGAAGCAGGTGTTTGGGCTAGCCATGTTCCCCATTTATACAGGTGAATATTGAGACTAATTAGCGCTTGAGTCTTGTGATCTACTTCTCTATGTTCTTTAAATTATTCGGTCAGAGTACTTATATGGCTATCAATTTATAAATATGTAGTAAGATTTAGTATTTTTTTCTTTATACACGTAATAAAGTATTATTTAGTTTTAATTACTGCATCACATGCTTACACAGTATATTATATTACGCTAATAGAATTTATTAATGTAATTATTTCTTTCAGAGAAAAGTATAAAGAAAACTTACCCAAAAATTGGCTGGAATTAGTAGAGAAATGTCCAAAGATCATAATGGAAAAAGTTTTAAATAGGCGTGTATTGATATTCCGTATTTCTGAGGTGAGTTGTTTGAAATACATAAGTAGAATTATATTTCACATAACGCGGATTTTAAATAACTTTGTGCACAGATAAACGACAGCGTAGCTGAATATATGGATAACGATTTGCCACCTTTACAATTTCCCAAAGAGGACTTTTGGAATGTTTTTATCACGGTCGCTAATTCCAGTATAGAAATTTGGCTTCGGATTATAGGACCACAGTATAGTGTGAGTATTTTAATAAATAATACTAGCTTTTGACAAATAATACTAGCTTTTGACAAATTTGAATGTAACCCTTGAAAATGATTTTTTACAAATATTTCATATTATAGGATCAATTTGAAACACTTCTTGCGGACATGGCGAAGTATTACGAGTTTACTGGAACAACTATAGAGAAATCTATGATTTTAATTAACGCTTGGTGAGTAGTACACTAAATCTGTTACAAACTCATTCATTTATGGATCCGACATCTGCAAAACAATAGTTAGGGATCCAGCGGACCCTAGTCAAAACTTTTATCCTAGTTTCAAGAGCTGTTAAACCGTTTTCCTCTCATTTGTCAGTTTTAGTTTAGTTTTTAGTATTAAGACTAAGTATTACACTATTTCTTATCGTAACATGTTTTAGATTTAGACGAGAGTCGATCAATCATATAAAGTAGTACGTACGTAACAGCCATTGGGTTTCGCTATAATTTTGTGTTTCTGATTTAAAAGCTTTGTGCTTAGTCTTAGTTCTTTGTTTGCTCAAAAAATTAGGAAACCTCTTAAGTTTCGATTTGGATGACGAAGAAGGCTACTTGCTTATAAAAGAGCGAAACAGAAGAAAACTAATTGAATTTTTAATGTATACGGTAACTTGGAAGGTATGCCGTGAATTTAGAGGACGGTGGATGGCAGCGCGCTAAAATCATGGAGATTCAAGACGATACAGCCACTGTGTTCCTTGGAGACCACGGGGATGATGATGTCGTCTATCTTAATCAAATAAAGGTCCTAGAGCCGCAATTCAGGCGACTACCTGCTCAAGTATGCATTGTTTTAAAGCTATATTTTATAATTGCTATAAATTGTGACATATTGTTTTTAATAGACAGCGTAATTAAGAGATGTATAAGATGAATTAATTGTTGATCTGATAACATGTTCTTGATATTTTTCTAATGAATTGCAAATACATATAATGACCTTACCTATCCTCTATTTTAAATCCTCATTGCTTTATTTAATAAGTGATGTTAATCCATGAAGCCATTGATATTGTTCGATTTCTATAACAAGAATCATTCTATTGGAACTGAAAAGTAACTGACTGTCATATTATATAATATAATAGCCATTTATATTATATATAAATTACTGAATTTCAATTATATATAAACTACATAAGAATCTGAAGTATGTAGTTATACTATTCCTAAAGCAGTTACTTCTTGCTCATTTTCAATACTTTTTTATTATTATTTGCATAAAGTAAAGGTTCTCAATTCGGTTCCTATTATTGATATTTTTAATTCAGAATTTAGGGGAATATTAAAAATGTTTTGTGCACGACGACGGATTTAACATATATTTCATAACTGTGTTATTTTTTGATTGTCGATTGTGTATTTTTTGGCCCATTAATTATATTCAATATATATGGTTTTTGTATCTTAACACTCGTTTCAGTCAAATTTTCATTATTATCAAAGATCTTTAAATATGCTGGAGACGTCATTTAACTTTTTCACCCATTATTTTGTGTAAATTGCATTTTCCACTTTGAGAAATCTTTTTTTAATATCAAGTTTTTTCCGGCTTAAAAATTATTTTGAATGTTCTGTTTATTCAGGCAATCCTATGCCGGTTGGATGGTGCCGAGGAGTTGTCAGCTAGTACTACAGGTGATGAGCTGGTCGTGCAACGGTTACCGGGAGAGGTTTTGGTGGCCGCTCCTGGACCTCGCACTGACCCAAATGACCCAGCAGTGGCAGTGGTCCTATTTGACACCTCTACACAACTTGACCTTAACCTCAATAAAGAGATAGTGCACGACTTTTGTATTGCTGGCGGATTTACACTGACTAAGGTATTTTCAGAACTATTATTTTAATGCAATTCTTACGTGTTATGGTGTGTGAAAACAATGTAAGGACTTTACAGTAAACCTTTACTTAATCTTTTTGCTAATATTGATTCTATTGAACACGAAATAAAGTTTTGTGCATTAAATGGACCATATTAATCTGAAAATTTAAAGGGAATAATATTTGTTCACAGTCTGCACTTCGAAAGTACATGTTAGAATCAGTAGAATTTTGTCATTGTTCACTTTCACTTAAAATTTATATTTTCTATTGGTTTCGAGTGTCTACTCTATTATCAAAATATCCTTTGAGGTCCCGGTGCCAACATGCATAGTTGTTACTATTTTTTTAATACGTAATAAATAAGGATGGTTATAGGAGTTATGCGAGGTAGAAGTGGGGTGCGTGACTGATGATGGGCGTGTGTGGGTATCTCGCGTTGGCGGACCGGCCGTAGTTCGTAACGCCCTGGCATTACTAACGTCGGGACCTTACCGCCGGCCATTGCCCGCAGCACCTCAAGCGCCCCCGACGCAACCCGGGACTCTATACATCGTGCGTACCTTCGCTGGCGACTGGTAACTATCTGTTGCAAAATAGCGTGACGAGTGAGGAGAGTAATATGAAAAGGACAGTAGAAACATAGTTCTTGATTTTGCTTATAATAAAATAATTTTGTTTTTTAGTCAGTCCATTCTGAAAGTGTCGTACGAAACATTTTGGCGATCGCTTCCACCTGTTATTACAAAAGCTTTTATTAATTAGTATCTTGTATTCAGAACTTATGCATCTATACAAGTTTTTGAAAATCTAATGATGCTAAGCTAAAACTTCAATTCGTTTTTGAAATTTTATAGTAAGTAATGTTTACAGGGTTCGATGTACGATTATCAGCGGCCTAGACGGAGAAGGCACGGTTCGTACGCAATTAGTGGACAGCGGTCTCGTTATGCGTGCACCACTTTCATCGCTCGTGCCCTTGAAGTCATTCTCGTCGGCGCTTAACGTCTACCCTTATCAGGTCTGACACTTTATTTAATGAAAAGGATCTTTCTTAACCTGTTCTGTCTTATCTTATTACAAACAGTGTTGTGCGTCATCCATGGATAAAACTGTTTGTAAATTAAGATTATAAAGATTTATACCATCAAGATGCAAGAAATTTTGAAATGCAATAGTAGGGAAAAAAATCTAAAAACCTACAACACATATCAATATCTTAACAAAAATTTAAAAAGTGACCGTGGTATTTAAATTCAGTAAAGTTCAACAAATGAATATCACAGTTTAAAAAAAAGTCAATTTTTACAAAAAGCTTAACGGGGGCTATTGCGAAGAACACAGCTTACCACTACGAGATACAAAAATGGCTCCTATCTGAAAACCTACTAACCCTGATAGTTAAAATAAGGATTGCCTATGTCTTTAAGTATTGGGATTACAGAAAAATCAACCGCTTTAACGGAAAATCGAAGTTGCAAAAAAACTTTCCTAATTTTCTATTACAAGGTGTCCGACCATCCACCACGCTTCACGCTTTCACGGAGGTGGTGACCGTCACCAACGCTTGTTTAAAAAAAAAATGTTAACGATATTGACAGGCGCGTCAAGTGCGCTTGGGCGGGGCCGAACAAGCGGCGAGCGCAATGGTGGAGCGTCTTCGCGAGCTGCTAATCGATCAACCCGTGTTGTGCCGCGTCGCGCCCGACAACACGAACGCGACACCCACCCACGTGGAACTCTTCGTACGAACCACGCCACAGCGACTACTGGTCTCCGTCAACCATTCTATCAGCACTGAGTATGTTCATCGGTAAGTTTTCCTCAATCAGAATAGTCAGAACAGCAGTTTAAAGGTCTCTATCAGTATCCCATACATATATCCGCCATTGGTAATGTTTTTATGCCTAAGTAGGTAATCGGTCGGTGCTTGATTCCCTCACATGTTCAATATTAACTTAGTCAATGAGGCGATAAAGTTTTCATTGGTACCGTATGTTAATTCCCCATAGATATCTATTGTATGCTAATAACTAATGCATCTACACAAAGACTCCTTATTTAAAGAATTACTGCTAAACCACTTAAAACTGTGACTTAAGAAATTTCATTTGAATATTTGGATCAAACTGTACTTATCTACATACCAATAACATCCTAAATGAATTAAGATGTGTGCGAAGCCGAAAAGTGATAAAATGTACTTACTCAACAAAATTTAAAAAAAATTCTTATGCTACTTAATCTTTTTGTAATACCTATAAATAAAGCCTAAGTTTTTTATTTTCATACATGTATTTTATTTATATATGGTTGAATCTATAAAACATTATTTATAAAAAAAGAAATTGAATTGCATTCCGGTGACCGAATGTTTGACCTGTAATTGGAGCGCGACCGTGCGTCCGCTACTTTCACTTCAGTTACGTGTTCGGCATCATTAACATTCTTATCGGTAATTCTTAATTTTAATTTGTCATTTTAATGCGTACTGCCAACATTCTGTGTTAAAACAGCTTAAAAGACACCGCTAAATGTGAAATGAAAGGACCTTTAGAGCCAAGTAGTAACAAAAACGACTATAAAAAACGAACAATATTATTTATTTTTGAGCGCATAATGTGTCAAGACATCTTATCATTAAAGGGTAATAAATATCCATAATAGAGATAAACAAATACGTATAAAATATCTATATATATAATAAAACTAAGTCGATAAAATGTGCGTGCCGATAAAACTTAAAAAGGAGTCCCGACACGATAAAGGGACTTATGTGGTGTGATAGCCCTTTATCCCCCCTCGAAAGTCTAATATATAAAATTCTCGTGTCGCGGTGTTTGTAGTTAAACTCCTCCGAAACGGCTTGACCGATTCTCATGAAATATTGTGTGCATATTGGGTATGTCTTAGGATCGGACAACATCTATTTTTCATCCCCCTAAATATTAAGATTATTTTTATTTTTATTATTTTTTCATGATACAGCATTAAAAATACATACAACCCCTAATTTTCACCCCTCTACGATCAACCCCTATTTTTTATTATAAATGGCAAAACGACATTTGCCAGGTCAGCTAGTAATAAATAAAAGAGACTTGGAACATGGAGTATCCATACATTATTGATAATACTAACTAAATAACAATAAATTATCCTCTATTCAGACTACGGATCCGGATCCGTAGTTTTAATTCACATTGATTTAAATACCCAAATATAGTAACGTGTCTAACAGTTCCAGTGGAAAATTGGTGGTAGGAGAGAAAGAAAAGGAGGCCACGAACCACGTAGAAGAGTTGAGTAAGAAAAAAAGAGCGTATATTCAGGCAAGGGCCAAAGAGTGTGGTCCCGGCTGAAGATAAGACACGTCCCTTACCGCCGCCGGCGCTGCCTCCTGTTGGACAATGCTTCGATGTTCAAATTGCTATGGCAGCTAATCCATGGAACTTTGTTGTAAGTCTCAATATCGCATAATAAAAGAGTATAATCGAAATATCTATGTATACAATACCGTTTCACTTATAATTTTAATTAAATTTATCTCTATAATCAAAGTTACCTTTTGACATTATAAGGGAGCTAGCCTTAACTTTTGATAGTTTGGTCAATACGGTATCTAATACGATTATATTTTACTCAATATAATGTTAGTTCTCACCAGCGTTGACAGTTTTTCATACATTTTTTAGTTCTAAATAGACGAGGATGCTGATTATTTTTTCCAAACAAAAAGAATAATTTTATGTACGATTTGTTTCAACATATTGCTTGTGCTTACAATTTGAATTTAACGTTATTTTTTTATTTGTAGGTGCAGCCAAATAGTTCTAGACATAGCCTCCAAACAATGATGGCTGACTTACAGAACGAATGTCCTAAAATACCTGAGGATGAAATACCAACTAATCCAACAAGCGGTGAACTTTACACTGGTTATTATGAAAAGGACTCTTCTTGGTATAGGTACACATTCTTACCTTCAATTTAAAGAGGAATAAATAATGAGCACAAGTTTGGTTTCTTATGAGCCATGTTCTTTTATAAGTCTAAATACATTCCTGTTTGTATATCATTGTGATATAATAATCCCTTTATAAATAGTGAAACATACAGACTCAAATGTGTTGCCCTAAAGGACTCTGAAAGTTATAAACATTTTTTGGCTTTACATTTTTACCCCTTAGTTTGGAATTGTTAAGACCCTTAGAGCAATAGCGGCCGCGGTGCTTGGACGCAAGGGTCGCGGCCAGGTGCGCGTGCTCCATGGCGATTTCATAATAATGTATCTATCTCGCTGGCCGCTAGTACGCTATTGCCCTTATACATTGGAAGTTTTATTAAATAAAAATAAATATTTTTGCAGAGTAATCATAGCGAGCAGCGTGATATCCGACCGCGTGTCCGTGTACTTTTGTGACTACGGCGATCTGGCGATGTGTCCCATTCGTGCATTGCGTCCCGTGCCTGCCACCGTGCCACTTGCCAGGACATTACCGCCGCAGGCTATCAAAGCGCGCCTTTATGGTAATACAATGCCATTTATTATTATCTTTGAATGTAAAAATTAGGGCAAATGCATATTATCCTTCCCAGTATATGCGCTTCATTTCATACGTATGTGTCCACCAATTTCTTGGAAACTAAAAGTCGCCGAGATTTATTGATTTGAAACAATGATATTACAATTTAGGAAACAGTGCAAAATTCATCAAAATTGGTTTTGTAGCACATTAACTATTAGGGGACATTTACCAAGGTAATGTCCTGTATACAACCTACAAACCTGTAAACATTAGAATTGCGACTGTATTTAGTTAAAACTAATATTAAACCTGTAATTATAAATGGGCTCATCTGGTATAAAAATTTAAAGTAGTAACTTGTACGATATTAGAAGTAAAACTGCGTCTTGTATGCGTAAAGATTTATTTATAATATTTTTATTCCACAGCTCATTATTAAAATGTGCTGGCAGTAAGTTAGCGCTTCCCATTTCTAAATCGTCAAGTCTCTCTAGAAATTCAAGGTTTTCCTCTGCAATTTTTTTAAAGGTAGAGCCCTCATGTAGTTTACAGATTGTACGATTAGTCGTGACACATCAATGGTAGATCAGATCTGGACGTGTTTATGGCATTTAATTCAAGATAATTATTAAAAAATACTTTTCGCTGCTTAACAATAATACTTATACCCTTAGCCGTACAGTACATCGATAGTATTTTAAATTAATGAAGGTTATAAAACACGAGTTATTTTAATATATAGTTAAGCACATTTCATGAACTTCCAATATCTTGGAAGTGGGGTTAACATTTGATTGATGAAAAATGTATTTTGTATAGATTTTAATATGACATTAATAATAATATTGTTTCCATTGAGTGTTGAGTATAGTAAATTTATTTTATTCCATTTTATGTACGCCATTATACGGTATGACCTTCGTAATTCGAATATATTTAAGTTATTTTTCATGTATCTGTAAATAATAATTATATTCATTACAGACGTATGGCCGCTTCACCAAGACTGGAGTGTAGAAGACTGTATTAGATTCCAAGAGTTATGTGTTGAGCAGCAATTTGTTGGTATTTGTAAGGAAGTCGGCAAAGACCCACTCAACCCCAGTGAGCCTTTATTGACCTTAGACCTAATAGACACTTCCACTGATGAAGATGTTTATTTAAACAAACAACTTGTAGCTGAAGAAAGAGCACGGTTGGGTTCTGCTTCTACATCAGAAGTATAATAAGTTATTCATATTCTGCAATGTTATCTTGTTGGCGCTCATAAAACAAAATTACGACTGATTGCCTAGTTCCAGGAAGCTAATTAGATAATTGTCTGCAAATCGTTGATTCATATGAGACAGAAATTTAAAGCAATACAAAATGTACTAGTTTATTCATTGGTAAACAAAATTTGTGACATTCATATTGGATTTCTTAACTGGAACTTTTATAACTGGGTTTGATTATATTTTATCAGAATATAGAGATTGTATAAGAAACTCTTTTGTGTATGCTCTGTTCCATTAAAGGCTTTGCTTTTCGTGCTAGATAAAACCATTTATTTTAAAGTGTTAATCCAATGCATATTAAAATAATATAATTTGCACCTTATATCTCAATAGTAAACTGGAATTATTAATAAGACTTAAAGTTATTCTTAGAAACATATCAAACATTGTTTTCTTCTTTTGAGAAAGCACATAAAATTTGTTGATTTTATAACATCTCCAAAATAAATAGAACATACCATCTATGACAAAAAATTTATATATGGGCGTTTTGTTATCAAAAAGTATTAAATTATCATTTTATTAAGGTGAACTGAGATATCCCCTAGTTGCTTGTTTGTTTTAATTTTATAATTGTTGTATGGATTAAGTATATTCCACTTTGTTAAGTAGTAATTGACAAAAATTCCATTCTTAGTTTCATTAGCTTAATATTGAGGTATTTTGACTTGAAAGGGTGATATAAAGGAATGGTAATACTCATGTCTAAACGCTAGATTTTTGTATACAAGTGTACGCTCCTATTAGAGTAAATTAAAAATGTGAATTAAGAATCAATTATTTCGCAAAACATACCTAATCAAATATTACATAAGTGGACTGTTAATATTGGCATGGCAATGTAACATAAATATGGATATAAAATAAATATGTATGGATATTTCCTGGAAATATCCATCCATATTTATTTTATAATCGTCAAATATTTGTGAATTAACCTTTGAGTGTAAATGATTTCAATACATATATGCATACCCTGTTTAACTAAACTGTATCCTGACTTTTAAATAAAGATTCTAAATTCCTTATTTTTATTTATTTTGGGTTTTTAATTATGGAAATGATGGTACCAGGGAGCAGTGTGGCTAAATGCTTGCATTCTAGCCCTGAGGTTTTTACTTTGTGCTTTCAGTAAGTTTGACTTCTGTATATCAAAAATGTATTGGATTTGACATACAGGTGTCATTCTTAGCTCTTAGTCACTACTGAATGTTTCCCTAAAAAGGAAAATGAAATAGATACTGAAATCTAGACCAAGGGTTGTGCCACTGGTATTTTTATATATACTTACTTATATTGTATTTTATTTATATATACTTTTATTTATATATATATACCTTTTAGTTTTATTTATGTTTACTGATCACTAACAATATAACCTAAATGGAGCATCCAAACTTGTTACTAAAATTCAACGAGTAACTAGATGTTAGCTCTGATTTTGTAACCTACATTTAGAATTATCAGTTGTTTGTTTTTACTTCAAGTTATGTACAAAATGTAAGTATTACATTATTATTATATTAAGGCAGGTATGCTATAAAATAGAGGATTGCTGTGCATCTCATGTATAAGCAACCAACACACACCCATTTGCACTGCAGCAATAATTTAATTGGGAACATATATTTGCATTTGAGGAAAAGAAACATGAGTATAAACCTTAATTTATATTCTTATCTTATACAATTAATTATTTTCTTAAATCTTCTGAAGATATTCCATACTTCTTTTTCAGTGTATCTATTTCTTCTTGTTTCTTATCAATATCCATACCCTTGAATGCTTTATTAGATCTGTAGTATAAGACAACCAAATATCTATTACATACATTAAACCCAGATAAATGGTCACATGCATTTTTTGCATCAAATATGTCTTCGTAGACAACAAATGCTGTCCCTCTTGATTCTGGTGTGTTACCCCTGAAAGCATAAAAACACAAAATTTTTGCTTAAATTCTTTTTTTAAATGAAAAGTTACATGTCATAGAAAATAAGTAAATAGTTTAATGCATCTTGTCTTTTAGAAATCTAATTAAATTCAAGTTCACGGACATTTTGATAAAACAAACTTAGGTTATTTGTAATCGTTGTTACTATGTGTGAAGGTATAAAAGTGTATGCATATATTTATATATAGTACTAGCATGAAGACCCGAGATGTTTAAGCACAGAATATTGAGGTTTTAACCGGCGCAAATGTTTGTATTTTTAATAACATTTAATATCCATACGCAGGTGTGTAAGTTGTACTTTATGTAGAAGAGTGTTTTAATGAGTACGGTACCTAATGTTCATGTGATTTTTGTGTTAATGGTGGTTTTGAATGCTCAAATTAGGTAGTAAGGCTACTATGTAAAATTTAATTTGTTTTGTGTAATATAGGTACTTAATATAAGAACCTATAATTAACAGATTTTCTCCAAATCGCGCCTGAAGTTTATTGATATAACAGGAGATTCCTCGTTCCGGCGTAAAAAAATGCAACAATTGCGAACCCACACAAATTTGAAGCCTTTTTTTATAGCAAGAGCTTTGCCTCTTTCAAAAGTCGCTTGTTTTTGGGGCAAATGCTCATTGACAAAGAAATTTTTTTTAGTTTACTATGTTTTTTAATTCCAAGCAATAACCATGGATGATGGAAGGAACTTGAAGTATGAAGTTTGAACTGTCATATAATAAATTTCTGTCATAATAATCAAAAATCGCAGCCAACAGCAGTGTTGCCAACTGCACCGTAATTACGGTAAAAACACGCGCGATTCAGAGGGTTTCCAAGAAACCGAGTCATTAATTTTCACCTTGCGATTCAAACGTCTTATTTTAAGTATTTCGCCGCAGCAGGTACGGAAACATTTTATTGAACTTCCTCTACACTACAATCTACAGGGACCCCGCGTACTAGACCCATTCTTGTTACGCTGAAAATGGAAATGAAGGCTTTTAACTTTTTCATTTCCAAAAGATTGCAGTTAAGAAAATTATTGGCGTCTTTATAATCGGAAAAGCCAACTACGCACCAACATCGAACGGGAGTCCGTATTGGTTACTGTAGCTTTGGTGTTGTTTGAATTTCCCGCGTTAGAGCCTTGAGAGATATTTGAATATTCCATGTAAGATGTTTATGGTTGAGAGGATGTGTTATGTGAATTATTATTATTTTGCGAGTGTGGAGATGACGTGGATTGAGATATAGGCTTAGAAGTAACCTTTTTGATTAAAATTTACTCACTTCTACATTGCATAAGCTTTCGCACTGACAGTAATCACCGCTAGAACCACTACCTTTCTTTTTCTTAATTTTCGTACACTGCCGACAAAGGCGCAAATAACGTGTTCGTTTACGACTTCCTTCACCTTTCTGAGATGATAACGAACAATCCGTATCCATTATGTCAAATTCATCTTGTGAACCAATAGATACGTTAGATCCCACAGGGAGGTTCAGGCCAACATGGCCATCATCACCCCGACTCAGGTCGGGGGGCTTGTTCATACAATATTTACAAAAACATACCGACTACACGATGACACTTTACACAAATATAATATAAAGATTACATATAATGCAAAATTTAAAACTACCAGCTTATCCTCTGCGTTTTAACTAGTAAAATTAAATTAAATTTTCACCACCGTGAAAAAAACCTCTACCATGAACGAATTTTCCCGCGCTTTTTTTCATTAAAGCATCTTCTAACAAAACCATGCTTTAAAACAATTTTTTAATTAATAAAGTACAATGTGTCCCGACCAAGGTTTCAATTCAATTTAAGATCACATTATCTGTGGTGAGCGCGCTGGTTACGAGCCAATAGAGTAGACCAATAACAGACTTATAATAAATAATTGGTTTCTTATATATTGCATTTCATTTTATTCTACCTATAGCCATGAGATTAATTAAAGTAGTGTATGCAACTGCATATAATTAGGTATTAATACACTCATTTAATCTTATTCTTTTTACCCCCCTTTTTTCAATTTGCAAAAACACCTTGGCCCCGGCCGGGAATTTTTTGGAAAGGGGGGGCCCAAAAGGGGGGGGGGGGGGGGGGGGGGGGGGGGGGGGGGGGGGAGTTTTAAGGGTAAAAAACGGTTTATCTCGATTTCCGGCAAAACTAAAAGTCCTATCGAAGAAAGTTAAATGGCAAAATTGTAGGTAATAAAAAGATCTAAAACTTTTGTATTCACACATTTTTCACATAACCTCAAAATTTATGTGAAATATTCAAAAATCCAAGTTTTTGGTTTTTAATTTTTATATTTTACAAATTTCTTTTTTTTTTAACGAAATTTGGTGAAAACTTACCTTATTATGTCCCAAATATACTGTAATTTATTTGATTAAAAATATTTATTTTTTCACCTTATTTTGAATTAATATCGAAAAAACACCCTAATTTTCAATCGAAAATTCTGACGTCAAAATTTCAGCTTTTTTCAAAAAGTTGGTGTGCTTTCAGTTCGTTGAAATCTCTACTTTCCTATGGTAAAAATATATATATATTACCATAGTAAATCTTCTCAGAAAATGCAAAACATCGTATGCAGTAACGCCCAGACCCGTCATACCCTTCCCTACTTCTCTATGAATCTTCTTTAAATTATAATTAGATGCCTATTTATTACTATTTTAAGATAACTTATATATACTGAGTGACCCAAAAAAAATTTTTCGCCTTTAGATGGGCTAAAATTTTCGTATTTCATAAGTGGTGAATTCGTGTCGACGCGCACACACTCGTTGTTCGAGAACTTATTCTTGCTTCCGCTACCAAAGCAAACACATTTAATTGTGCGCGCACTATGCCAAGTATTTTTTAAATGATCAAGAATATATTACAAAGCATAACGTTTTCCTTCCTGTCCATATTGGCAACTGTCGGCAGAAAATCTTCTCAGTGAACAAGTTTGTGAACAAATGTGCAGCACTATGCGCTCACAAAAGTTCACACAGCATTGCCTGCTATTGTTTTGCACAAAATGTTTGTAAACAAATGTGCCGCACGCTATTTTGGTGGAATCGTACCCTTAAGTGAACATAAGTTTTGTTGCGTTTTTGTATGTTAAGAAAAAAATAAAATATTTATATTTAATGTTGTAATTTCGATGCGATTTCTGAATGTTACTAAATCGATACACACTTCAAAAAATGGGATTTTAATCAAAGTTAGCATTGGAAGTTTTGAAAATAAAAAATTGGATATCAATAAAAAGTATATTTTATCAATTAAAATAATATAAATATGCAAATAAGACATTTCATAAATGCAATACTATTTTTAAATTTCCTTAAAAAAATAATCTTAGTAATTAAAAACCATTCTAGTTATAATTATATATTTTTAATATCTACCATAATTATGTAGGGCCAGAAAAAAGATTGTGTCGAGCTTGTTTGAATGGCCATGTAAATCATTAGCTTAATCTAACATAATAAATGATGCATTAAATTAATACAGAAGAATTTCTCAGGCTATAAGGTGAACAGCCTAGTAAAACTTAAATTAACACAATGTTTGTCATGAGTTCTTTTAATTGTATGCTCTATGTAGAAAATAACCGGTAACATGAAGTAAAACTAAGGTCAAATATTTTACCTCATTTAAATTCCAACATAAATGACAAACATCAAACATTACGCGATATCTCTTGAATGTTAAAAAAATATACTAGAATCGTCATTAAATAGCGAAACAAAATATTAATAATGAGAAACAGAGTTAAATATTTTGGCCAAAAAAATAAAAATAAGACAAATACTACCAAATAAATCAAATTTAGAAATTTAATTTAAATTGGTCATTACTTTGATTACAAATTGGAATGCACATGGTAAAAATCACTTTATCTAGAGATTTTAAGTTATTATACCTTTAACTATACTAATATGGTGAATGAAAATACTAGAAAAATAGTTTATATACACTTGATACTACGAGTCATATTGTGTTTCCCTTAAGAACTTATAACTGTTGTCATGAACGATATGTAAAGAAAACGTCAATATTAAGAAAAAACAATATTTAGGATTTATTTGATACGCTCGCAATATATGTATACAAAGTATTTAGTTGGACTTATTTTATATACACAATGTACTTAGAACAATATTCTCATTCATACATTCCTAAAATCAATAATACTATTTGAATCATTTTGCAGATCATAACAAATCATAAAATGACAATAATTAAACATATTTAATAAAAAGCAGCCATTAAAAGACAACAACTTAATTTTCGTGTTAACTGTTTTGTGCATCTGTGCTATTTCACAAAGTCACAGTGTACAAAAAATACAAACTGACCATTAGTCAATTTGAAATGTTTCACGCGCAATAGTTACACACTTGGATGCACCGAGAACTTGAACAAGCACAGAAAGTGCTCTGCAGTTTTGATATTCCTTAAAGTTACTTAACTTATCTATACATGTATACAGTACTATTCGAAGTTGGAGTTGAACATGTTGATGTTGAGGTCTTCGAAGGTGGCCGTGCCGCTTTGATCGAGAATTTGCAACATTTCTGACAGCTCGTGTGGGGCGTGGGTGCCTTCTGCACCCCCCCGTCCCCCCGCCAGCCACGCCCGCCGCAGCACCCGCCCCGCCCTGCCATGCCCACATACCCGCTGAAATTATATTTATTTCAATTTCATATACTATTAATAGATTTAATAATGTAACTGGTTAAATATGTTTTTCTGAATGGGTTTATTTATCAACCTATTTATTTTTATAACAGATAAAAATATATTGGATCAATCAAACGAATAGATTTTAGAGAAGACAAACTGAAAACATAATAGTTAATTTAAAAACTAGGAGTTCCTCGATGTTACGTATAAACAATATATTGTGAAACGCCAATGTACAAGTTATAGTAACATATCTTTATACGACAGGTTACGACCACAACGTGTGTCAGGCATTAAAGACTGATCACTGATGGTCAAGGAAACAGATTCGTGTGAATAATATTGCCCGCTATAGTTACGTATACGTACCGTGTGTTGGATGTGGATGATGATTGTGGTGATAATGTGCAGGGGGTAGGTAAGGAGGAGCCGCCGGAGGAGAGCGGGCAGGGCTACCCCCTGGCCCCGTTGCTGCTTCCGGCCCCGCATACGCGTAACTTTCGTTCTGCCCCGCTCCGTTTCCGCTCCCGCTCTGAAATTTGATATTTATTTTATTATTCCGTCTATTAATCCATCCAGACGGAAATTATTATTGATGTTTCGAACATAAACTTAAACTTATAGGAATTTTTATTTCTAGAAAATCCTTATCTTAATTGCGTACATAGTATTGTAGTATAACACAAATACAACATTTTAACATTGTACAAATGATTAAACCCTAAATATGACATACATTATTAACAGTGACCAGTTAGATGATTGATACTTATCTAAATCTGTTAACTTCTCGCCATTCTTTGTGATGTTTTGTGACGAGTTAATAACGCTAAAACGACGGATTTGTTATAAATAAGTTGTTTTTGTGCTGAATAGTCCATTTAATGAGGAAGGTGATGTTACTCTTAGCTTAATAACGACTAGTAGTTTATTCTCACCGGTCTTAGCGTGGTCCATGTGGTGTGAGGTGGCGTGTTTGTGGGTCGATGTGGTGAATAGTCGGGCGCGTAGTGGGCGTACGCTCCGGCCACGGCCTCACCTGGAGACCTTGCGGTTACGCCACCTGCCGTACCAGCCGCTGTACCACCTAGTAATTATAAATTAACTGAGAAAACTATCATTTTTATTTATTGGACCTTCTGTGCCTGACACACATCGTCGACTTTAAAGGTCTTAGATGTGCTCGGTGTTACTACATTTTTCTTAAAAACGCGCATTACAAACGCGCAGGTGGGCAGCCGGGGTTCAAACCTACGACGCCAGGGTTTCGAGTCACACGCCTAGCCTATTGCCTGGTAAATAATATTTAAGAAAAAGAAGCCATTACAAAAAGCCTAACCTAAACCTTAAGAAAGTATCATAACTTAAAATTACTTAGGTTGTTTTTAATTTTTTTATTGAAACAACATGGTGAGATGCGTGATTCTGATAAAAAATTTTTTAATTTTAAAATTTGTAAAATGCGTATACCAGAATATGTATATATATGTTTTTTGAAATGCAACATTTATGTATTCTCCAGTTTCATTAAATTTGTCGTTTAAGTTATACTCAAGTGAGTTTTATTGGTAACGTATACGTACTGTGCAGCGGGGCAGGCGCAGGCGCAGGTGGGGGCGCGTGATGGCCGTGGTGCAGAGGCGGAGCCTGATACACGTCCCGCTGTCGCAAGTGGTAGTCGTAGCTCTCTTCTGACACGCTTTCGCCACCCGCACTGCCCAGGGAACGACTACGAATATAAATCTCAATTACCATTTCTAAGCACGGGTTTGGCAAGCCTTCGTCAGTCCTGTCTGGATGGCGTATTACAAGAAATGGATACAAAAACATTAATGAGACCATCTACTAACTAGAACTTCTATGATTCTTTTGATTTGCTATTTTAAAAGAGTACCGAGTTTTTTACGCCGGCTTTTTCTCTCGGCCTACACCCTCTGTCTTCTTGGCCGATGAGTAGATGCCTACAAATTCAAATTTAATGACGTGGGATAAGTGATACATGTATAGGTCGGTTATCGAAAGCTGGCGGGTTCACAGTACTCACACTAATGCAATTTTACATACAGTATGTTTCAAAATATGATTTTTTTGCCAAGCTATATATTTTAGTCCACTCTGGTTTTAGTAAGGTTGGGTGGGTTGTAAATAAATAAAAATGTGTCAAATACATATAAATATTAGGTGCATACGAGGGTGGATCCAAAAGTTCTAAGCCAGACCAAGAATAGATATTTTCCATTGTTTGGGGACTGTTGCTTTGATCCAGGAGTATGGTGGTGAACCCAGCTTTCAACAAATCAAAAAAAAAATCAAATCAGCTTTCAGCATCTGATGTCAAATGAAATATAAAATTTTTTCATTAAACTGTTTTATTAAGATGCTTAAAATAATTAAAAACATTGTGCACCATTTCACGAGATTGCCCTGGTAATTTTTGAAAAAAGATCAACATGTATAGGAAATAAACAGTAAAAAGCAAAAAATAACTGTCTTTATACTCATAAGCCTTTGAAGAGACGGACAGTCTTTTCATGATGTATTTGTGATTGTATTTCAGTTTGACATGTTTGACGTTTGTTTTGAGTTTGACGCCTCGCGCTTATTCACAGACACTACACAAGCACAAAGTGTAAATGTGTTGAAGCCGCCAGCTTTAAATAACATACCAATATCTTATGTTCAATAATAAACATATTTTTATTTTTTATGAATTTGAGTTTTTCTCATGTTAGTACGAGCTTCTATGTCGCCATGCCTACTCCTGATAGAATTTGTTTATATTGTGATTAATTTTATGTCATCTGAAGCTAGATGTAATGATTGCTGCTCCTTACAAGCGTCTTGTAAATGCCGAAGATTCATAACTGTGTCAGTGATTTGTTGCCAGTTCTCCTCATCCGTTCTACGCCCTTAGTTTTAGAACTAAATGCATATTCGTAATTTACTATAAAGCATGTGCTACACGGTATGAAACGGCGGTTTGAAACGAAATAAAAGCGAGTTGCGCTTTTCGGCTACACGGTTGAAAACCAACAGTGTCCAAAATAACGTTGCGCTGATAAGACGTCTCCGTAGGGATGTGACATTCTGCATAAAAAAAATCGATTTTTTATTAATCGATTATTTTTTTAGCATGAAAAATCGATTAATAAATAATCGATTTCTTCAGTAGCACATTGCAGTATTTTTGTTGTATTTTTAATTTTATGTAGTCTTGTGCTGCTGAATAAATTTATTTTACTTTTAAGTTATAGTTTTATCATCCTTTCGATGTTTTACAAAAAAACAATACATCTTCAAAGAATCGGATTCAATGTATCGCATTGTAAACATCGTTGTATATCGAATATCCCTAATAGTTCAAGGTCCGGGTTATAAAATACCAGACATAATGTCGGTAGGTGGCAGATAAAAAATCGACTATGATTGATTTTCAATTATAAAAATAATCGATTATTTTAAATATAAAAATCGCGTAAAAAAATCAATTTTAATCGATTTTTTTTTCACATCCATATCCCAAAGACATGGCAATTCTCTGTATAATTCGAGCAATTTGGTAATAACTTCATGTTCGTGCGTCTACGCTCGCCGCCGCAGCACGACTGCCGAACGCGTGGTTTTAAACAAGCGGCTAGACTGTTTCAAACCAACGGTTTTGGTCGCGGTTTGCAACGCAAAGCGTGCTGCCAAGGTCATATCAAGGTTAAACGAAATTTGGCATAAAACAACTATCCACACGGTTTCAAACCAAAGTTTCAAACCGCCGTTTCATACCGTGTAGCGCATGCTTTAATGTAACTGTGGTACAACTGATCATAAAGGACAAGGTTAAACATACATAAAACAGTATATGTGTATGTAACCATTAAAAATGTTTTCATATACTCACTTTGCCAATGTGTTTGTACACACGATGTATTCCACGTCATCGTTGTAAGGATTCAAAAAAGCGAAAGCAGATGTTCTTAACCACACCCATTCTCTGCTTTTAGTCCGAAACCGGTACATAAGAGAGATTATTTGGCCCTTTAATTTCAAAACTGCAAAACAAATTACGTGTAAGGTGAAAATATATATAACAACATCAGTAACAACTGCATATTTCTACAAATCGATTTATCTATAATTTAGTCATCAGTTTAAACTACATAAAAGCATTGGTTCATAATTATTAAGAAAAGGAGGTATGAAAGTTTATTTTTTTTAAATTATATAGTAAAATACACTTATTTTATATAGTAAAGGGATGTAACATTATATTATATGGGTTACAAATTGACATATGTTATTTTAAATAACTAAATTTTTATTCATTAAATTTTGACATTTTTCATGCTAATTTAATATAATAAATAGCCATATGTTAAGTTTAAAAATATAATATAAATTTTAGGCATAGTAAGAAAACACCAGGTGTATTCAGTTTTTAGACCACGGCATGCCTGTACACTTACGATACGTAAGACAGAAACGATCTTGTAAATAGCTGTAGTCATTTTTCTTGAAAATCATAGTCACCTTGGTCAAAGTTATCCCTCATGTGTTGCTGGTCTTCTGGGTGGTAGAACTCATAGCATAGTTTTCCCAAAAGGTCAGCCGGTGCATAGCCTATTACTTGTGCCGCACGTTGGTCCGCAAATGTAAATCGGCCCTCAACTGAATGACGCGATACAAACTCTACTCCGCCACTGCAGAGGCTGCCTTCAGCTGCATTTGGTGTTGATGTCACCTAATTTAAGATTTTTTAATAAATTTCATATATGTGTGTGCAATACGTATGGATTTAGGTATTTACACAGGCGAGGGACAAACGCGTGGTAACAATGGTAACCAGAAGATTGGAGCTTAGAGTCGGCGAATTAATATTGTTTTCCGGCTGGCTGACAGCAGGCCACATTACAAGATAAATATTTTGGGGCCGCAGTTGTTATCTTCAAATTTTATTTAAAAATACCTTACGTAAACGTTGGAGCTAAAACTCCGAATTAATACAGATAATCGTCAGTACTCTACAACATAATGGCTTTATTGCTTTATATCTTCAGTCTGTATCTGTATGTGTTTAAAAAAATATTTTACATAATTAATCATACGCCAATCAACCGCACAATACCAATTTTAATAAATGGATTATTATAACAGTTTCAAATATAGTTATATTTGAAACTGTTTATAATAATAAATATTATTTAAAATTTAATCTGAAAGCAATACAACACCTGTAATCTCCCAATTGCCACCAAACAGCAATGAGACGCATGAAGCTCATCGTCAACAGGCCGATCCATCTGCATACCTGGAAACAGATCTGATTTCCCAAAACGCATAAAATATTGAATTTATTGTTATCATACAAAAATTATGAATAACAGCTCAAACAATTCAATACACAAACCTGTGGGCGGCCAATTTTTAATATAACCGGTGCAATGTACCACTGCGTAGTTGTGTCCGTCGTGTGACGGGCCGAGGGAGTTGCGAGCGCGCAATCGGCCCAAGTGCGCGCTTTCAGCTGTCCCACCCACGCGCATACGGCAGATGAATCCGCGCCGCGAACCCATCACTTGCCGCATTGATGCTATAATATACAGGTATTATATGAAAGATACAGCCAAGATTTAAACATTTAAAACACATTCAGAATTGTATGAGCGCTGACAGTTAGGAGAAAGTTGGATAAAGCTCCTCCTTACTTATGAGTCATAAGTGCTAAAGAAATGTATTAACAAAAGGTCTAAAATAAAAAACAACATACACTGGTGACCCTCCTTTTTGACAGTTCCAGTTTTAAGATCCAATATACGGCCCGTGTTCTGTGGTTCTTGAGTACTCAATTGTTCCCGAACTTTTTCAACGTCATCTGGATGCACTTGGTCGTACAAACATGAAGAATACCATTCACCCTATAATATTAAATATATATAATAAAGAAAAAAAGGTATCTTATATTTAATCATACAATAGGATAATTTTAGAGTAGATAGGGAGGAACTTTTAGTTACTAGTGAATGGTATAATTAAGTAATTTTAAAAACCATTATCTCTGTAAAAATTTCAGTAAAGTAGTATTGTTTATTTGTAAAAATAAAATGATCATACCTGTGAATAATTAAGTACAGGTGCTATACTATCACTAACATATATGACACGACCTGTGTCGCAACTGACGACGAAGAGGAAGCCATCTGCTGCTTCTAGGATTAAGTGTTTCAGCTCTTGATCAGTCAAAAACGATGGCTTATAAGTACCATCTGTTGAGGTATTACCAGTACCTATAACAAAGCAATTATTTTTAATTAAATTCAAAGGCAATGTATATCTTAGACATCTTCAAATCACAATTATAATATAAAGACGATGAAAGCTTCACCCGTACTAGCAGCGCGGGTAGAAACTTGAGCTTATAGAATTTTTTCAGAAAATGTATTACATTTTAAGCCTTACCTCTCAATGCTTTCATATGCGCTACAGCCATACGCAGTATTGTCAACTTGTCTGGTTTCCGTGCTAGAGCCGAACATGTTGGAACCATATCAGATAGTTCCGTGATATAAGCCGTCATCTTGTTTCTTCTTCGCCGTTCAATCTCACAATGGTTCTCACGGCTGAAACAATAGTTAGATTAAGTATTTACATCCTGGTGATACGATTAAAAACGTATCCTTAATACCTTGATTGTTTTACTTAATATAATGTTACTAACTCCGCAAAACAGAAAAAAGTATTCGAAAATAATATTTGTAATACGTTAATATTTCACAAAGTATACCGATTAAAACATGCTACCTTACGAGCAAATTTATATACTTGTCTTTTTAAACCATATAGATCGGCGATAATAACCATGGCATAAAATTATCATAAGTACGAAAAAGTTAATATCGACGTAAACTTCTTGCGTGATAAGACACGTTTTCAATCAAAACAATGATTGGGAACCTAATAATTTTTTAAATTGTTCTCATAGTGTAGCTTCTATATAACCATTGTATCACATTGATAGAGTTTTTTTCGTAATCGTAAGTTGCCTTGTAACTAAAAACATACATAAGTTTGATTGTCGTCAGGTACATCTATATATAGTTTAACCTTCATTTCCTGTATGTGGTAAATCTAATAAGAAACGTGAATAGAACTATAAAGTAATTTCTCTCTTTTTAATTTAACTTTCTGAAATATGATTTAATTAAATAAATAAAAAACTATTCTTGATGAATACAAATCACGCGATTTTTTAAACTTTCGAAACTTATAATCCGAAAACTAATTAAATGCATTTAGTAGCTAAAGAAATTATAAATGTTTAATGACCAAAATGTACCTTGCGAATCTCTCCTTATCTTGAATATTATCCTCCTCCATCCTTGTGTATTTCCCACCGCTTGCGTCGTCGTCATCGGACCTGATAATAAGACATTTTATTTTTTAATAAATAAAATAAGGAGAATATGTGAACTGTTTTCACTGTTGTCTTTACTGTAAATTAAAGAAATTTTATTCTTTAGTTTAAAAGTTATTATTTTAGGCTGCTATGTTAGTATAAAAATTTAATTCCTTAACAAAATTACAACATTTTTGCCCCAAGGACCATAAAATTTGTTATTAAGTAGGTAAAATATTTTATATAAATTAAATATTTTTTTAAATACTTGCAAATATTCCAGTATATAAGTTATGTCTTTTCATAATAGGTCACAGTAACGTTTTTATTCAAGTTAGTTCTGTACTTCGTACATGCTACTTATCTACAACTTTGGGTAAGCGTTTGTTATTATCTTCTTTTTATACAATTAATGTATATATATAGTCATAATAGGATTGTTATTCAAAATGTATAAAATTGAAGAAGGTAGACCTTCGACCTTTTTGTGCCTTCCAAATCAATTCAAGTAAACAATGAAATGAAGTTATACATTTTGATTGATTTCATTATGTTAGAAAATACTCATTTGACTTTCAACAATCAACAGAATACAACAAAGGGGTGAAATATTTGATAAATAGTTTAAATATATGTTAAAGTTAAATGGTTTATTTTATTCCACTCATTTAAAAAGCTGTATAAATACAAAGACTTACCCAACACTACCAGCTCGACGTTTTTGTATTTCCTTTGCTGGGTCAACCCCTGCAGTAAAAAAAGGAAAGCATTATAAACACATTAATTTCACTGATGGCATATAGTTCCTTTTATTATTAAAATATGTCTCTTGCATTATAACAATCTTAAAGTAGTAGTTAATTAATGATTTAAATAGGTCAGGTTTAAACTCAATAGAAACATAATCACAGTATTTGCAATTAGGCAATAATATTGAAAGCAAGGATGTTCAAATCACGGATGAAATTAAATTTAATATGCACACTCCTACAGATAAAATCATCAAATCAGCATTTCAACGTTATAAATTTTTTAACAACGCGTCACGCGGATTCCGAGAGCCCTGAGCAACGTCAATACAATTTGTGATTTTAACTTTTGTAGTTATGGTTGTTTATGAATATAGTTTAAGAGAAGGTCTATTAATTGTACAATACCTGAATACGAAATCTCTAAACAATAGTACATAAGATATTATCTGCAACAAGTAAATTAACATTCTAAACCAACCGGGGATTGTGGGAGCCACGGCAGACATGGGTCAATACACGCATCAGTCCACGTTTTATTAACTTTTTAGTTAATAATTTATCACCACTATCACTAATAAAATTCTTAAGTACCATAAACACACAGTTTTAGAATGTTTATCTAACAATTTTAACACAACACAAGCGCCATTTTCATTTTTCATTCAAGATGACACACTGCACAAAAAACAAATCCATTGTGAAATGTGAATAGATCTTAAAAATTGGAATAGACTAAAGCACAGGGTTAAAGATTTCCCACAGACTATAAAGTCTGTGATTATAGTTTTTACTAAAATGTTTCTTAATTGTTGGAACTTAGAATATCCAACAGCGAGCCATTCGTGTTATGCTAGACTATAAAGCTAAAAATAAAACAACGTAGTCTGTGTTTTAACCAAAAACTCTGGTACATATGCCATATCACATGACAATTCCATATTAGGTCATGGAATGGCGTTGACCGATGCCATCTACCGCAAAATATTTTAAAATACCTACCTAATGCCTAGAAAAACGTGCATTACATTATACGTGTATGCTAGATTCATTACATAAAATGGCTGCCGTATTGACAGGTTGTCACTACCAAGTGACAACCCGTCCCATGGTTTGGTAGGTGGTTGGTAAAACTCAGGAAAACGATTTATTTTACATGCATTATTTTATATATGATTCGGTGTTTTAATTTATTTAACGAATAACATAGGTTAATGGACCTTTTAGTACGGGAGGTAGCAACGTTTTCGAGAAAGAATTTCAGGTCAGCTGATTTTGTGATATGTCTTCCTTCTTGCACTTTCGGTTAGAGTCTGGGCAATCTGGCTGGCGGTAGCGGTTGCGTTCATTAGTGCGCATCCTATATGTCCATGTAATAATCCTGGATTTTAAAAGCATTTTAAGAAGCGTAATTTTTAATTTTTTCCCTTTTAAATAAGTCTACCTGACATACTTTTTTTATTGCCAGACATTTTTCACATTGCTAACTATGTGCCAGACGCGATTTTAAGTTTTTTTTTATAAAAATTTCAAAGTATTTTAGAATGTCTGTAATTTTAATATTATGTTATATAAATATAAGAAAAACTAAAAATGAATTTGCCAGACATTAATTCGATTGTTAAGCCTTGAATTAAAATGAAAAAGTCATGAAAAGTATTGCAGTATGATGCCTTTCATTGGTAATAAAAACATTTACGTAAGTTTTAATAAATGTTATTCATACAAAGTGATAAATAACTAAGTATAGGTCTACCAGGATCTGATGGCAAAAAGGGAAAAAAGAAATTGACGCTAGCAATACTGGGGAAATTGGAGTAAAACGTTTTGATGCTTTTTTTTTCCTTATAGCGGCTGATTCTGTGTGATACATGCAAATATAAAAAATTATTCAATGATCAAGGATAATTTTTGAAAATGTGGCAAATGTGGGGTTTGAAATTTAGATGAAAACTCCAATTACTCTTCGTTCATGAGTTTATTAATCAATTAAGAACTTGAAAATGGTTCCAAATACTGCACATCCATAAAAAAGTCTTCAACGCAGTATTTATGATAAACCTTTCCTCCTGCATCTCAATTAACCGATCTTGTTCCATGAACTGATTTTCAATTTTTATTACATGTTCACAAGATTTTCGCCATGCATCGATCCCTATTTGAGAGAAAGAAACAGTGCAAAACTCATTTATCTTGTTTCTGATCAATTCTAAATCAAAACTATCTAAGTTTATTTGTAGTATAAGAAACCCCTGAAATAAACCAAAGTTTAGTATAAATACATAATATAATACACACGAAAAATCCCATAAACCAAAGTATCAACACGTGTCATTCCAACTAACCAGTCAACGCTTGCACGTAGCTCAATATCGATGATTGTGTATGTTCTGCATCTTGTTGATCAAGTATTCTTTGATAAACATTGAAAACAAAATGTCTTGCTTGCGATAGAAGAGGTTTCTTCGACATTTTCATCACTTTTTAAAGGAAATTTGAAGCCAAACTAAAAACAATTCCTCGAAATTTCAGTTGACATATGAAATTTTTCTTTTATTGCCATATGAAAATCGCTAATTTTTAAACTTTTTTTTTGCCATCAGATTCTGGTAGACCTATAATTAAAACTATTGAAGAATCATTATCGTGTGAAGAACACGAAGAAGCTGATTCTAGGATTATTTTTCATATTTGCCAAATCGATTTTGACGCAGAAGTTGTTATACGCTGTTCTGATTCTGAACAAAAAAAAATTAAAAATAACGCTTCTTAAAATGCAATGCTTCATCATACTGCAATACTTTTCATGACTTTTTCATTTTAATTCAAGGCTTAACAATCGAATTAATGTCTGGCAAATTCATTTTTAGTTTTTCTTATATTTAAATAACAAAATATTAAAATTACAGACATTCTAAAATACTTTGAAATTTTTATAAAAAAAAAACTTAAAATCGCGTCTGGCACATAGTTAGCAATGTGAAAAATGTCTGGCAATAAAAAAAGTATGTCAGGTAGACTTATTTAAAAACGAAAAATTAAAAATTACGCTTCTTAAAATACTTTTAAAATCCAGGATTACCCGGACAGATAGGATGCGCACTAATGAACGCAACCGCTACCGCCAGGCGCCAGCCAGATTGCCCAGACTCTAACCGAAAGTGCAAGAAGGAAGACATATCACAAAATCAGCTGACCTAAAATTCTTTCTTTTCAAACGTTGCTACCTCCCGTACTATTTTTCTTTGTCCGTTGAGTGAACTGTCAAAAGCTGTATTATTTATTAGTGCCTTAAGTAGTTAATTTCTTGTATTCTCTATGATGTCATTTTGTTTTTCCTAATAATTAATTTCTTATGTATTTTTTTTTGGTTTCTTTGTTAATTTTATTCACTTATTGTGCTCTCTTGTCAATTTAGGGTCGCCTGTTAGGGCAGGAATGTTTTTAGAAATAAATAAAAATATTTGTATCAAATATCAAAACAGAATATGTATATCTGTTTACTACCTAAGTTTCACGTATACTAATAACACAAAAACGTCACACTTTCGGATGCGTATACGTAAAGGATCAATAATGTGGGTAAAATAAATTAATAATCTACATATCTCCAACATTTTAATTTGGGCATAGGTAGTTAAAATACAAATTTAGAGGACTTAAATTATGTTCTAAACTATCTATCTAAATTTGCTTTAAAATGTATATTTAGCCTTTACGGGCTTATTAAATGTATGGTGCGCTACATTATCATAACCTTTTTAATGTACCTAAAATATCTCTTTGAAATATACTTACATCAAAATGTTACTTACGAAAATCAATTAAATTTAAGTTACGTTAAAAGATTATGAAATTGTAAAAAGGGTTCTAATAAGCAATTTGTGAATCAACGGACGATGGTCGATAAAACCGTCTTCTGCGCAGAAGTAGGCCACTTGTAAACAACATCAGAAGGAGTATAATAGATATTCCACACATTGCGTAAACGCCGCCGCGTAGTCTGTATCCATCTGAAATTATTGATCGTAATTAGTAATTACTGTTTGTGTTGTAATTTCGTACGGTACGTCTAAGTCTAAGATACTTCTAGCAGTAGGAAGTTACAATATACTATTAGCACACTGCAGTTAAAAGTAGTTTCTCAAGTTTTCTGAGCATACCAATTTTTAAAACGGGCCGGCAACGAAGTTGGAAGCTTTTTAACAGTGTGAGTGTCCATGGGCGGCATAACTTACCATCAGGTGATGCTTGTGGATGCTTGCCGCCCCCCCCCCGTTATATGAAAAAAAAATGTTTTTGTAATTTTAGGTAAAATTTAATATTTTAACGGTGAGCATTAAATAGAAAAACAGTCAGTAAGTCAAGTTTTACCACCGTACCTCCATACCCAACTATCATATCAAAATATTCCTTATTTCGTAGTGTAGAGTTTGCTAGTTGCGGTAAATATTGCAGCCAAAAGGAAATATCTTTCTTTACACTTTTGAAACGACAATAACTATAAATCTCGTTGTCACAAATTTCGAAGATAGTTTTATCTTTCACCGTAAACCGAGGCCATTTTTCTTGCGTTGTAGGAGACCTGAATGTACAAATTAATTATTTTAAAGAACCAAAAATATTAAAATAATTAGGTAATTAAAATATATCATTTTAATTACCTAATTCCTACTTTAATAAAGATAATAAGACGTCGCAACTTTGGTCCGCGATTTATGCATCTTTAAATGTTAGAAAAACTAAACTCGCTCAGATTATACTATGTCGGCAGTCATTATGATATTAAACTAAACCATTTCTAAGTAACAATTATGATCCGAAATGGCTGGCCTTGAATAATTCTGAATTATCCCAAAATACTGAAATTCAACAATTCCACATTCTTGATCAACCTTTTTGGCCTGATGATAAGTTTAAAGTAGAGACATTTACTAAAAGTATAGTGCTTATTATATTTCTAAGAATCTACTCTCAGTAGCCATTCCGCAAATATTTTTTTTAACTCTTAGTCATAGCCAATGCACTAGATTTTTACTCGTTAACAATTATTCCTGCTTTTCTTTATTCTCTGTTAAATATATAAGGACACCAGTCCGTATGATTGCTATGATTTTCAACAAATTAAAAAACGAAGAAACAAATGTTCGTAAGCAGGTAGGTTACAGACGAACACGAGCTATTTTAATATTCTACACGACGACGACGTGACAAGAATGGAATTTTATGCTAGATACGAGTATTGTGCCAAAGCGTTACCTTTTCAACCCATCTAAAAGTAGATACATAATTAAAATTCTTATGAACTTTGCAATAGACGTACAACGTATTTATACCGACATAATTACAAACACTATTCTTTACACTCATTACCATATTATGATATAACTGCATTGCTTCTTATATTTAACTACCTGGATCTTATATTATTGGAAAAATTGTCATTCAAATAGGAAATACGCATGAAATTTAAATTTGTCTCAAATATATTTTTCTCCAAACTTTATTATCGTCACATTATAAAAAAAAGTATATTTTTATTTGGGCGAAATAAATTGTGACTTCAGGTGACATATCATTGGATTTAACGGTGGCGATATTAATACTACAGCTGAAGTATTTTGTGAGAAATTGTTTCAACGTGTATTATAAAACTGTAGTGACACCGCAATAGGTAGGTAGCTCACTTAGATATAACTGAAGGTTTAGACAAAGTTTTACCTTGATCTACAACATGATATTGTAGATAGTTGAGCCCTTCTCATAATCTTATAATATTTTTTTCGTACTTCGAATTCGAATAGGAAAAAGCACTTTACCGGGTGTACTTTGGTAGGATACAATTTCAGGCACCAAGGTAGTTTTTGGTGTTATTTATACTGTTAATTTATTTATTTAAAAAAAAAGGAAAGGTTTTAGCTTCTTTCAAGATCTATATAGCAAATAAAATGTAAATATGTTTGTAAAATAAAACTAGACGTGTCGGGTAACATAAGCCCGCGCAAAATCGGTGTTTGAGGGGCTCAAATTTATTTGATATTTACAAATTAAGTGGAATATTCCTGAGATTATTTATATTTTTTATTATATACTTTAAAATATGCATAGTCCCTATTAGATATATACGTAACATTTATAATTTTTATAGCAAAGTGCGGCTGTTTGTCACTATTATATAAAATAAAATACATTTACCCAAACTTCACAAAATTCATTACATAATATCGAAAAAAAGTCGATATTTGTTTCTCATCATTAGTCGGAGATCTTCTAGCGACTTGAAGTATAATTGCATCACCAAACAAAGCAATTAGATCGGCGCCGTTAACTGCTCCTAAAAAGTTAAGAGCAATATCAAGGACACTGGAATTTTATTGAGATTAGTTTTTTTTAAACGTATGTATATTAAAATGAATTTTTGACTCGAGAATGGCTGAATCGATTAGGCTAATTATATTTATGATCTTGGAACATTTGTGGAATTTCAGGGAAGGTATAGATAATAAGTTAAGAATAAAAAATTCTAAAAACGACAATTCAATATTCCAATACATAAAAAAACTGTTAGCTAGGTGGGAAATATTTTATGTCTTGTTTTTTTAGAAACAAAATTGTCACTTGTTGTCATATATTTATAGATACCCTGAGTAATTAGTGTTTCATAGATGAGGTCCGTTCTCTGTCTGTTGTCTATTGTAAAATAAATTGATTATAATATGTAGATGATACGAAGTTCACCGGGTCATCTAGTAATTATACATGTACCGATCTATGTAAATATGGAAATATACCTTTTGATGTAGGTAATTTATGAAAATATAGTATTAATAAAGTTTTACTTTAGAAAACATACCTGTGAAATTTAGGCGATTACCATAAAGGTCAACCTTCGATGGAAAGGAGTATCGGAAAACATACACTCTAGGCACTTGTGTAGCGAGTTTCTCCGCTAAATAAGAACTTGCAATGGCCCAGTTTACGACAGAGTCCATAAAACCAAGCGACTCTAATGCGCTAAAATTGTCTATATCTTCTTGTATTCGATTCCAGTATTCCCAACGAACAGCTTCTTGTAACTAAGTAAAATGAAAATTTCACAAGGTTATAAAAATATAAACGTCTATAGAACATTTTAAACAAGTATTTTAAAATACCGTTTGATAAGTTTCCGAATTTTTCAATAAAAGAACATTTAGAATATTTGGTAAAACACTTTCCATAGAAAAATCATATATTTGCTTGTTACTTTTCCTTAAAAAGCTCTTGAATAGACTATCTGGAAATATAAAGTCAGTCTGATTATATGTATAGCAAACTAACAAAAATGAAAGTGCTTAAATAGCAAGAATTGTAGGTTCAAGTAACAAAATAATTTTAGATAAATATTCTATAATTTATTCTGGTTATCAAGTGCCTACTTACTTCATAATATAAGTTTCATACAAGATATGGGTAAAAAACAGCTAAAACCTAAGACATGCAAAGCTTACCACGAAGCCTTAAACTGTTAAGATCTGTAGTGCCAATCATAATATCCACTGGTACATTCAATCCACTTGGATGTCTTATCGCCTTTTCCAAAGTAGAAGGTAAATACTGCATTGACACTGGTAGAAAGTCGTCCGACGTAGGTTGCATATATTTTTCCAACGTGGTATTCTGGAATACGATTTCGTTAATAATTTTTAATGTAAAAAAGAAACTACTTAAATGTGAAAACACTTACTGAAAATAATTTTATAATCTCTTCCAAAGGCTTATCTTTCATACATTGCAAAATATCTTCATCTCTTGAAGTATAGTTCACACATCCTATAGCGCGTGCAATCTCTTTTGAAACCTTCGCTTGTTCGCCTGCAGTTACACTACGATTCTCATAGATTCCTTGCCATATATTTCTCGGAGACATAATTATGACTCGATGATATAACCCTAAAAGTTAGAGCAGAGTATAGGCTATATTCAGTAATAAATGCTAAATTCACATAACACATTTTTATTATATTTTATTATGTGTGTTATTTAACAAACTCAATAAAACGTAATTGCGCACCAGTTGTTCTCGGTGAAACCACATGGTGTAAAACGCTGTCAGCGCCTGCCGAGTGACCCAAGAGCGTTACTGACGTCGGGTCTCCACCGAAGGCGGAAATATTCTCCCGGACCCACAACAACGCCATGTATTGATCAAGTAAAGCGAGATTTCCTCGAGCTATCACTGATTTTAGAGTAAAAAATGATAAAAGGTGAAGTCGATAAGCCACTGTTACAACTACCACGCCTTCAGATGCCAACTCTTGACATGGTAGGTTCAAACTACCCCCGGTCCATGTCTCGCTGTAAAATATTATAATAACGGGTTGAAGCTGCCCATCCACTCTCTGCCTGAAAACCACATTAGATATGAGCTCTATTTTGATACAAAATTATTTCTAATGGTTTGTAGCCTGCGTAAAGTTATCAATAAAGCAAAGTTTGACCAAAGACTGTCCCATCGAAAAATGTCAATTATAAAAACATCTCACCCGCGATGTCCATATATTTAAATATAGACAATTTTCACTGGAATCCTTACTGTCTGTATCTACTTGTGGGCAACTTGGCGCCATACGGTGGGCGAAAAAAGTCCGTTTCCAACCATTATGTCTTTCTGGTGGCTTAAAAAAACAGACAACCAACAAAATTTTCCTTATAAAGAGTTAAAAATAATGACTTAAAGAACGCAAATACTTCTACATTGAGTTACTGATAACGAAAGCACTTATTACATTACATATATATAATCTATTAAATAGATACTTACAGAAAATCTCAGTTTTCCAATCGGTGGAGCTGCGTATGGTATACCAAAGTAAATTTCAATTGGTTCTAAAGAATTCTCCATAAACACTTTTATCTATAAGTAATTAAGTAGTAATGATAATCTTTAGTTAAATCGTTAGTTATCGACTACTAAAATGCCTCAACCTTGTGTACCTACTAGCTTTTTATGAATTTCAAATAAAATAAAATATACTTCATCATCACTAAAAAGATAAGTAAATTGATACTCACTCCAACAACACGGCCTTGAGCGATATTTGCGACAGGATCTTGGGCGAAAACTATCGTAAGAATATACAATATTGATAATAGTAACATTTTCATTGGTATCATAATAATAGATATAAATAAAAACAAAATAAACGTTATTCAGCAACGTTTAGGTATGCAATGATTGAAAGCAAAGGCAATGAGAGTGTTTGTAACGGGTCCATGGTTGTACATCCGTTACGGCAGAATGTAAAAATTTAAAGGACACAATGGAATGCTTCGACGCGTGAAAATAATAGGCACAGACATTGTTCTAAAACAATTTGACCAGCATCAAATTTGATTTATAAAAAACGCAATACAGATTATTGTACAAACTCTACACGATCCATTAGCTTAAATTTTTATATAAAGTAATTCATTGTAAAATAAATTACTTTACAGCCTTGGGCTGGGCTAGTACTTAAGAAATCAGCAGTTTTATAGAAATCGAAAGGTTCGTTTTATAAAGGACAAAAATCGGATATTGATTTTATATAAAGATTTTATGTAAAGAATTTTATGCATATCTTAATTAAACAATTTGTTTAAAAACATTATAAGTAGTTGTAAAAGTGGGACAAATAATTTGTACAAAATCAAAAATTTTACACTTTCACGTTACTAAGTGCTACATCTAGTTTCTTTAATATCATCTTGTAGTAATAGTTAACTGGTTGGTTACTGGCGAAACCAATGGTCGCGAGCAATAGTCCATAGCCAAGAAGGATTGAAAACAACTTGTGTCTTGTGACCCATTCTCGAAGGCCACCGGCTGAAAGGAATAGTAAATGTTGAGATTAGTTTATTTAATTTGTTTAGCAAAAAAGTTCTGAGGTTTCTGAAAAAAATTATATCTGTTGAACGTGAAAATAGTTCTTCCTTTCTTATCTAGATCACCATCTGTAATTGCTGCCCTTCATAAACTTTTTATTAAATACGAATAATAGCAATCTAATAAACTTTCTATTTTATAACTCGTTAGTCGTTACGACTCAAATTTGCATAACTAAAGAATGTGGAGAATTTGTCGGTTTGACCAGAATTTGTTTATGCCAAATATAATTCATAATAATGAAATTAATTGAGTATCAATTACAATTATAGAGTATTTACCATTTCTATTTGTATTTGACGAAGGAAATCTCATAGATGCAGGTTGTTTAGCATAAACAAGTAAATATCGCACTCGGACCAAATCGCAATTAGTGACAAGGTAATTAGTATGTTTATGATCAAAATTTGCGTCTCCATGCTCTTCACTATCATCTTTACAACGACAATCCCCTGTGAAAAATATACCAATTGAGAAACTTTATATACAAATATAAACTATTTATCTATTTACTTTTTTATTTTATATTATTTATATTCGAAAAAGGGCTTGCTTCGACATATTAATTACATAAGTACCTAACCCTTATGTTTAATATTGGCTTTGATTACGCGTGTGGAACATCGAAAACAAAAATTACAATAGGTACCACATTAAAATAGCATTTGTTATTTGTATTTATTACTTATCGCTCTCGTCTCACTTTAGAAATAAATATGTGTTACAAATTATTCTTTAAAATTTATTCATAGTATAAAAGATGTTGAACCTTCGTTCGATACAGGTCTTTGGTAGTTGATTCCTTCGGGAGTGTCTATTATTTCACACAGTGCGACACAGGATAAATGACCGCCAATGCAACTCGCACCCCAGCCGAATCCACCATAGCTATGAGGCATGCTTATACTGAGCTCGGGCGAAAGATGTATACCGTTACCCAATAACGTAGTCTTTAAGAATAAAATAATATTAATTTAAGTTAAATGAAAATTAAAGTTCTGGAGAAAAATAGATTAGACATTAATTCTTCTATACAAACATTTTACAGAGGAAAGAATTTGTTTGTAACTAATTAACTCTAAGTTTCTGCTACATTATTCCTTGAGTAACATAGGCTATAATTATTGTTAAAATATTATTTTTAATCCCAGTCGTGCAAGGCAGAATAGGCCGATAGTTTTTAAATACACAACTTTGATTTCTCAGACATTTATTAGATATATTAATTATTATATTTCAATATACAAGAGATGCGACTGAGAAGCTTGCCATGTGTGAACATATAAAAGTGAGTACCGACCTAACAGTCCTATTTTGCAGAGGGTTTTGAGATTGATTTTTCACACTTACCTTATTTAAATGTTGTTGAAGTCCAAAATTAAGAATAGAGTAAAAATGTTCTAAGCGATTGCCGTGATAGGCATAAAACAATTTGTGATTTTTCGATAACTCCTTCCATTTTATTTCTGAATTCGACTTTGTTGAATAGACTACTTGGAAAATAAATTGAGGTTTTGGTGCTGGGTTTGCAGAATGCGCATTTATTAAAATCGCCTCATGCTGAAAAAGGGGTATGTCATTAATAGTATGTATTCAAAGGTTTTTCTTTGCTATCTTAGCTAATTTTGCATGATTTTACCCACATTGTGTAAGATAAGGGGATATTAACATCGCAGGGGATATCCAGATGAAAATGCTACATGGAAATCTAAATGCAATATAAAATTACAAATTTAAATTATAAGCTAACGTAAAATAAGCTGTAGTCCCATTATCATGCAACAGGATACGATGTGCTATATCAACAATTCCTGTCACGTTTATGCCATTAAGATTTTATCAGCTTCACTAATTTATGGGAATTTAGACATTCGCTGGTAGGAAAACTTTTTTCTTTAATTTACTAATATTTCTTAGTTCTTCTAGTGCCTTGACTCTAGTATACAAAGATATTTATTTCCGTTTTTGAGTGTTCTTAAGTGACAAAACTATCAACGATGTACAAATGGCGTAATTTTTGGACAGACAGTGAAATCTAAACTTATTGTAATCGAACGAAAGAGAAGTTATCAAAGTAAAATTATATTTATAAAATTTTCGAGATTTTTTTTATCTTATAGATTACTTGTTTTTTCTATCTTCTACGTATAGCAGAGTAGAAAAAATAATTCTTTAAAGAATAGTTTTCTCACCGATTCTGGCACCACTGTTTTCAAACTTGGTTCCTTTAACCTAACAAGGACGTAGAATAGTAGATCGATAATATCGCTAATATTTTCCAAATTGTCAAGATTATCTAGTTGTTGTAAAACCAGATCCAAAGCCGGGACATCCGTGACGACGCTTAACTGAAATGATTCAGATTTAATTTAATTTAAAATTAGGTTAGGCTTGATTAAAATACTATCACTTATACAAGTATATATATATAACACGTACTAATTCATCCATGTCTTTAACGCCATTTTTCAGAAACGCCGGCGGAAATGGTCTCAAACAACTTTCGTACCGAAAACTAAATGCTGCCGCCACGAAGAGACTCCACTTTATATCAGCGGCTTTGAAGTCTTTTTCTAATACTAATCTGCAAAATTTTAACAGTTTTAAAGTGAAACTTTTGTTACATCGTCTCAAACTTTTTCATCTGTGTCTTGCATGTCGCGTGACGGTCGGCCGCGGAGTGGGGATAAAGTGAAAGGCGCTCGACATAGCAGCCAAGGCCAATATGGCGGCGCCTATAGTTCACAGCAGCTGACCGTGTAGTGTATAGATTATTATTTAATATGTGTATATAATCTAAACAATTATTGAGTATTATGTATGTCGTACTCTCTAAGACACAGTGTTTAATAAAAATATTATTAGTTATTATGAATTAGTCTACTTTTATTATTTCCCATTATCATTTCAATTTTCCAAGTATAAAATTAAGATTGATAAATCGATTTTTATACCCTAAATGGAATATTATTCAAAAAATTCTTAGTTAAATGTCTATAATGTGAAAAATAGTTTCACTTTTACCGTGGTTTCATAAAACCACATAATCCTTTTTTTATCCCTTATAGTATATTTAAGTAATAGTACAACTAATCTATTCACACAGGTGAGAAACACGCCAAAGCTCAAAAAATTAGTACCGACTTTATATTTATTGCTGCTTTGGAAGCTGGAGAGTACAGACGAAACAGTTGTTTGTAATAAAGATAAAGATAACTATTAATTGACGGTATTAACACAGATGAAAATTTGAAACTTAGCAGCCAAATATAACATACGAAGGCAAGGCATAACAATTATATTTTGTATTACTACACTATAAGAGCAGACTGTTGAATTTAAATACAAACCTTAAATGGACAGCTTTCTTTTCCAATGAATCGAGTCTCGCTTGAATGTTGTCAGAAAGAGTTTCAGAAGCGGATGCGAAATTACAATTCGTTCCTGTATCTGATAAGGCTTCAGGTTCTCCATCCATATTTTAAAAATTACTTTACAACAATAGCTGTTAAAGAACAAAAGGCATAATTTAGATTATTTTGTGTATATACGGTAAAAATAATGGGAAAGTTTATGTGATGTTAGACTGACAATTTTTTTAAAAATAAGAACATTAAAACCAGTAGTAACTCATAGACTTAAGTTTCTGGCATAAACATAGGTAATAAAAAACTGTATTTTATTTAAGCGATTGTTTTACTATTTAATTATTGTATTCACTGATGTACTCTTATTTAGATTGCCTAACTGCCTATTTTTATATTAATTAAAATTATTCCTTAAAAATGTGTATATTTGACTTGCATTGCTTTGTATGCTATTAAGCATGCATAAAAAAAATTACGTATTTAATTTTAATGAATTGTATTCAGATGTACTGAGTGCATGACCTCCACCTCTTTGAATTTTGCGCCAAAATAGTTTTTATGTTATTATTTGCCTTGTCTTGTGTTAGCTATTGTGCAGGGCACAGGTTGTAGTAGAATATACTCTAAAGACGGTGTCAATTTATTATATTCACAATCTGTGAAAAATTATTTCACTTTCAATTTTCAAATGTCATACGAATTACGAAATGAAAATTGTTATAAAAAAATTTATAAACAAAGTAAAAATATATAATTTTTGCTCATTATTGATTTCATTTGAATTCCGATAGAGAAACTAATAACAAATAATTGTTCATTACCAACCTATTTATTTATTCTGGTTTACGTCTAATGAAAATACGTGATATGGGAATTTCTTAGCATTATTTTAATTAAACTATCTTTTACAATATGTTAAAAATTTAACGTCATATTTCTGCCGTGAAATTAAATATTCCCGAACTAGTCATGCCTAAAACACCTCAAGAATTTATCCAGAGTTCGTTTTCACCTCTAGTAGCAACTCTGTGCTCGGCGAAAGTGGAAAATATTGTATCAAAGAACAACCTTTCTTTATCTGAATTATTGCAACCTTTTGCGACGTGTAATTGGGAAGGTAAACTCACTATTAACTTTAAAATAATGATACTGGATTCATATTAAGCAAGGTGGGCATCATTCTCACTTGATATTACTAAAGTGTATTACAATACAGGGCAGTTTCGAGAGCCAGGTGGTAGTGTTTGTATTGTTAAAAACTGGAAGCTGGTCATCAGAGATGTGAATTGGAAACCGCTACAACCCACAGAAGCTAGAAGACAGTTAAACAATGCTGCATTATTTAACTATGATGATAAGACAGTTCCTAAGACCATCGGTATGTTATTCAAAATCTTTTATTAACCAAGGCTTAAACTTTAGACAACTATAATATTATATTTAACTACTCTTGATAATTTTATAAAATTTTCAGATGGGCACAAGTTTGATGTACCACAAGAAACACCATGGTTTGATGCATGGAGAGAAACCTATTTTCAAGTGCAATTTCCTTCTGATCATGAGTTTACAAAACACTTCTTATCTTGTATTATAGTGGCATCAACATTAGATGAAAATATTGTTGATGCATACAACAGTTTAAATCAACAGTGTGCTCAATTACAAAATGTTACTCCACCAAAGCTTCCAAAATGGTTTAATAATTCAGTTTTGAAGTCATATTTGCTTCTTCATGATGCATCTCTGGTATCAAAAGAAATGTAAGTATATAATATACATTATAGTTACATATGTATGAAAAACACTAATATCTTTTAGCTGAAGTTTGGCTCTTTACTGTTATTAATTTTTCCCAGATAAGGGTAGAGTAATGAAGTATGGATGTCTGGATGCTTCACTAGAGTTTAATAGTTTTAAAATTTGATAGTTATGAATTCTACTTACATAATTATAATACTTATGGGTGTAACTCTGTTGACGGTGTGAAATAGCATTTCTTTTATTTATGTTCTCAACCCTTTTTCAGAGCTGAATCCGCATTTGATACAATGAAACAGGCATTTGGTGCAGTAAATTGTTTTATTCTTACTATAAATTCAAGGCAGACTACAGATGCCAAACTCCCAATGGATTATTGGCAAAATTGTTTAAAGAAACCTTCAGAATTACCTATGGTATTGGTAATAGCTGTTTTATTAATTAAATTGAATAATTAAACAATTAATCATACTAATTTTAATTACAGCGTACTCTGTCATTATCCACATCTAATTTATTATTTGCTCAGCAAGAATCTTCATCTGAAGTCTCAACAGAAAATATAGTAACAGCAGGTAATGTTCTAAAGCTGTCATACATTTTTGTGGCAAATTATTTGTTAAGTTTTATGTACTTGGAACTGATTTAGGAAAACTTTAGTATAGACTAGGAATTATAACAAACAGACAAATTTTATGCTGATATTGTGTGCCTTGTCATACTTCATTCTGCACATTGATTTTTGATTACAAATGGTTGTTTATCATAAGTTGGAATTAATATATTATTATTGCATAAACTAAGAGACTTTATAAAAAGAATTTTCCCATTTAAAACAATAATAAACTTTTAACAATAATTTTTTTGGTTGTTTTCAGAAGAAAAACCAGTTACAGTCACCACACATCAAGATGGTTCACACCCCTTGACGGCCAACGAAAGTGATGTATATGATAATGCCAATAGCTTACAGGTAAAGTTTAAAAAAGGTTTTTATTTAATTAAAAAAACAAACTTATTCATTTGTAAATAATATTTCCAAAGGTCTAGTGACAAACAATGAACCAGTAAGTTTTATTATACTTATTACATAGCTTCTAATTAAACTTACAGTACAAGAATCGGAATTTTTGTATATTCATGTAAGATTCATCAAATTTGGACAGGGAAAGGATCAAGTGCAAATTTTTAGAATTAATACATAACTTTTTATTTAGAATTGTGTTTTGTCAGTGTGTTTGTATGTCAAACAAATGGATTATCTTTTATTAATTAAACATTAAATCAAAATTTATTCTTACTTAATGTTTAAACCAAAGCTGAGGTCTTGTCTTATGTTTCTCCCTTTAACCTCCGTAAGAATATAAATTAATTATTGTATAGGGACAGCCTTATACAATGTTATCACAATATTAATTAAAAATTTGTGATACAGCAAGGCCCACTCTAGGTCCCATCTGGTCTTGACTTCAGGTTCTGTTCTTGTATGTATTTATTGAAATTCCACATTGACAAGGTCTAGAACATTGTATTGTTAAATGTAATTAATGATATTATTTAATCTATACATATTAAATTCTCGTGTCACAATGTTCGTTCCCATACTCCTCCGAAACGGCTCGACCGATTCTTATGAATTTTATTATGCATATTCAGTATGTCTGAGAATCGGCAACTATCTATCTTTCCAACCCCTATGTGATAAGGGGTGTCCAGCCCAAAAAATATTTTTTTGTTATTTTTATGATACAGCATCAAAAATACGGGGTTATATCACCCCTCTACGACCAACCCGTGTTTTTAATAGTAGATAGTTATTTTTATTGAACTAAAAAAATGTTTCCTAGAAATAATATAAAACGACGTTTGCCGGGTCTGCTAGTAATATTATATTTATTTATTTTCAGACTCATTCATTTTCTGGCAGTTCGGAAAGTATGAATGTTATAGGCAAACCGTTTGACAATGCAGAGATGCATGGAGCAGCTCTCAATAACAATGATATTGATGCGATAAAAAAGTTCATTCAAGACTATGCATCAAAAGCTTTACTTCCATATATAGAGAAACAAATAGCTCAAATTACAGAAGTGGTATGTAAAATAAATTTGATATTTTAATCAAAAATACTAGAATGTTTAAAACAATCAAAACTAAATGATTTCACAGTGATTAATAATTTTGACAAATTATTCAACTTAATATTGGGTGTCTAACAAATGAAACTGGAAGACAAATTGCCATACTTTCTGATATGCAGACACTACAATTATTATATATAGTGTACTTTTAGTTTTTACATCTGCAGTTGTGTTTATTATTAATCCAAATCTTGCGTTCTTTACAACATAGCATTATTAAAAAAAAATTACGATTAGCTGTCGGTTTCTTCCAACAGGAAATAAATATTACTGCGTTTTGCCAGGATTTCAACCCCCAGCTCCGATTTACATGCCTTAACTATGTCACTAGGTTAAACGTATAACCTGTGGTGCCTCGTAGGTGGTACATTTATAGTATTCTAATTCTATTATCGTTACGTTTCAAGGTTGCTAACAAAAAAGGTGTGAGCCGATCGTTATTATCGGCTACAAAAAGATGGTTTACAACGGGGAAATCCGGTACCACCACAGTTAATAATACAGTAATGTAAGTTACATATACTTTATGAATTTGTCTGAAAGAGTGATAATCATTTAGATATATTTCGAAAATAAAGTTATTAAATCCTTTATTTTTTAAGATTAACAGACCAGATTTATAGACCTTTAATAAATCTTTCTTGTAAATATAGAAATCGTGGTTTTATTTAGAGACATATTAAGAATAATTCCTTGTTTTGTTTTGTTATAATTCAAAAGTGATTAAGCGTGTGTTTTCGATAATAAATCAATGTTATATTTTATTTTATTCGATATCATATACCAATTAGCATTTTTTGTTTGGATCTTTTGAACTGACTGAAAAACCCCGAAGGAGAATGTTTTCAATCTGACATGAATTAAAAATAAACTTTTGTTTGAAAGTGTAAATTTCTACAGGTGAAAGATTGATTCACTTCGAAGATACTGTTAAATATACAATTACGCCTAACGGCTGGCCATGCGTCGATTTCTTATCCAATACGAATGTTTTATAATTTTAGTTATTCAAGTGACTGTCCAGAGTTACAATTACGTCGTCTCGGCGATCTTTGGTTTCTTTGTGGGCAATGGCAGCGAGCTTTTGACGCGTACCACACAGCGAAGAGAGAGTTTTACGCGGATAGCGCTTGGCTCTGCTACGCTGGAGCGTTGGAAATGGCCGCTATTAGTGCTTTTATGTCGGGCGAGGCGAATCGCAAAACACATGCGTATATGGAAGAGAGCATCGTTACGTATTTGAATACTTGTAGGTGAGTCTATCTACTACCGTAGAATGTTTATCCAATTTTTTTACTTGTAATTTTTGCCGTGACACAGTTGAGTAATTAATATACCTGTGCAATATTTAAGTTAATTTTAACCGATAATGTCAAATTTTACTGAATAAACTGATTATTCTGATGGATGGATTAGGATTTATGCTTTTGCACAAATGCATAGATAAATGCATACATAGTTTAATAATAAGACTCAAATTAAAAAAAGATTTATGTTCGTGCTTCTTCTAGTCAATAATCCATGGATTGCTGCTCAAGTTTTCCATACATACATTAAAGTTACTCTTCCATTACGGCAACATAACTACGATTACGTATTCACACGCTAAGGGTGGTTTATACTTTCAGAATGGTACAATATGCAGTCAGAGCGACATTATTATCTATCCCATGTTTATTACACCACGGTTTACACGGCGAGGCCGCAAAACAACTCATAAGAATGACGTCAGAAGACAGTGACCTTCGAAGCGCAATGTTGTTGGAACAAGCAGCTCTATGCTTTCTCCTTGGCCCAAGTAATAAGACTATGAGCCGGAAATATGCATTCCACATGGTCCTTGCTGGTCACAGGTTTTCTAAGGCGGGACAGAAGAAGCATGCTCACCGGTGCTACAGACAAGCATATCAGGTAATTTTAATGATTAATTGGTTTATACCTTTGTTCCATTTATTTTGCATTTTTGTGCTTATGTCAATTAATACTAAAAGTAGTACTTACTAAAATAGGTAGTTTAACTATGAAAGGTCTTCTAGTCAAATGAGTGTAGTAGTGAAGGTACAAATTATTTCTTTTTGTTGAGATGTGACCCTTTTATTATAGACATATTATGTGCATCTAGTGCTTTTATTTTAAACTAATTATTTTGATTGGTATTTACAAACTTGGTTCCATATCATGTACCTACACACGACAACTACTTTATTTATATATATATATTATATTTTTTTTTTATTATTATTATTCATTTTTATTTTTTTATGTTTCCTAATTTTCTATTTTATTTTTTTTTTATTTTTTTTTTTATTTACTCATTTTTTTTAATTTATAAGTTATTTCCTCTTTTCCTATCATTTTACCTCAATTCTCTTCTTTTTTTTCATAGTTAATATTTTGTATTTTTCAAAAGTCTCCAACTCTTTTTTTAGTTAATAATAATTTTTTCTTTTTATTTATCCTATTTTGTCAGCATTTTTTAGTTTTATTTTTAATTTTTATTAAAGATTATGTTCTGTAAATCTAATATGTGCTAAAGATTGTATAGAATAAATCCTCTTCTTTTGGAGATTATATATTTACAATTTCTCATAAATTCAAGATATTTGTTTATAAAAGATTTTATCAAAACCTTTTTAAAATACTCTAACATACTTTTTTTTTAGCTTCCGTTTTATGATAACAATTATTTGTTCATTTTCTATTTTCAAACATTGTTTATTACTTCTTTTTTTGATATTTAAGGATAATACTATTTTCAAATACTTTTATAGAAGGGGAGAAATAATAGCCTTATGATGAAACTTCTTTGGAGGTTTTAGTTTTGAACCATGTTTATATGACACCTTCCATAGTTTTGGAAATATTGTAGTTTAATATTCGTTAAAGAGTTTAACAGAACGATACCTTTTTCGGTAGTTCTTTAAGTACTTCTGCGGTAATAAATCGAAACCTCTTTTGTTTTAATTATTATTTTATTAGGTTAAAAGTTTTAGTGTAAAGACATTTTATATATTGATTTATAAATTGTTTGGTTATTATGTCCGGTTTTAGGTTATATAACAATTCTTGTTTTTACCATTCATTAGCTTGTTTAAAGGGGGATTTTCTTTGCTTTTTATGATTTGTCATCTTCCAGATATATCGTCATTTTATCAAATGTTTAGTTTATCTTCAATGTAGATTTTCATTTTCTTTGAGTAGTTTTTTAAATTTTTTGGGCTTTATTCAACGCTTTTTATCTTGTGATTCCTGCTTATGCATTGTCGTCTTAGTCTTCTTTGCAGCAATAAGATATTTTATTTCAACTATGTCCTGACTTTGTGTTTTAGGTTCTATATATGGGGTCGATAGCCATCTGCTTTTTATAAATTAGTAACTTGCCAAGCTGTGTCGTCTATGTCATTTTCACTTTTAAGGGGTATCGTAGGTTAGCATTATCTTCAATGTATTCTCGAAAGGCTTCATAGTTTTAGGTTGTATAAAGTCTCCCTGGTTCTTTTAAATAACTTTGTGCTTAGTTAGATAACTGGTGTGTGGTCTGAGGGCCATCTAGACACATTGGACTTTAGTGTAGAGCCCAGATATCTCTTTGTGTGAAGAGCGATAAGATCTGGCATTTTTTTCGGTCTGTTGGCCAATGGGTTGGTTCACCATTTATATATTACGTATAATTATTGTATCCAAAATATTTATCGATTTTGGTGAACACAATAGTAACAAAAACCATTTAATTTAACTAAAAATATAATAAGCTACAATTACACTATTAAATACTATTTACTCCTCAAAATATTCAGTGGCGCTACAAACTTTTATGTCTGGGCCTCACAGTTTCAGTATATGTTTTCTGATCACTACTTTTGCTAATAAGCAAGTGATCCGCCTCTGCTATGCCTAACACACCCCGTCGACTTTTTGGGTTTTAGCTTATGCCGGTTTTCTCACGATGTTTTCCTTCACCTTTTTGTTAAGTGCGGACATAGAAAATCCATCGTATTGATAATATAAAATGTGTCCTTAGGTGTACCAAGAAAGCGGTTGGCGTCTATCCACAGACCACGTTCAATTCGCCCTGGGGCGCTTAGCGGGTGCCATGAAGATGTCAGCTGATGCTGCCCGCTGGCTTTCTGGTCCACTCTCACCAGATTCACAACAACCTGAATCCCAACAGGATGCCTTTCTACGGGAGTTCATGCTTGCACATCAGGTTTGTATTTTTTACTGGGGTAATGTTTTGACAATTTCAGAAATAGGAAGATCGATCGAACATCGATAAGATCGTCTTTTAGGTGAATCAGATATTCAGTATGATATTCAGGTTTTCCGAAATTTATCATTTACATATCAAGACAAGATTTGTGCGTTAAATGAGCTGTGGTATACGGGTTTCAATGGCTAAATTATAATTATAGATTTTGAATATTTTTTTACCAAACATGTATTTTGATACTCGAAGAAAGAAGATAATACGCAGTAGTGTTGGGAATTGCTACCGGCGAACTACTATGTGGTAATGCTGCTTTGTTTAAATATTAATATGTAATGCGTTATTATAGAGATTTGAATATAAGTTAGTAAAATGTTAATTATAGTAAATAATTTGTTTGTTAAATATGTATTTACTTTTACAATGTACGTTATTTTTTAACAAATCGCATGTTTATAGTTTTGATACGTATCTGTGTCGATCATTCAGCTTCTTGAATTTTTCTTAAGTGCTTCAACGCGTGCTTACTTTTAATACTACGTTCTACATCAAATTATTCACAGCAATGGGTAGAAAGTTCTGAGGAGTTTAAAACACGTTTGCCGACGTTGCCCGTTCCTTTATTAATAAGCGAAGAAACTGCTGTGTTATGCGCTGGACCCTCACCTTTATCATCCCCGGGTCGAACGCCAGCCACTTCGGTGTCATTTATTGATATCTCCGACCTAACCGATAATTTATATTGGAGTAAACTAGAAGAAAGTCTGCTCCAAGTCGCGCAGGGCAATATTCCAATGATTTTCAAACCAACAACAGATTTGTATACTCAGAAAAATGATAGTAGTCCAATCGTGCCGCAAGGAGGTAATTTTTTTATTAATTTATATTTGCTGCTTTATTTTGCTACTAAAACCAAACTTAGATGTCGTTTGATGGCCTTGGATGAATATAACGTTGCTGATTTTCTTTTGTTTTTCCTACAGCTTCTACTATACTAAATTGTTATGGCAAAAGTCAAACCAGTATTTTTTGCTTCACATAAAACGTTTAATTTACTGATTTTATAAAAAATATTTTCAGAACCAATACATGTAGCTTTTACTTTAAAGAATCCCTTAAAGGTTCCGTTACTGCTGACGGATTTGGAATTACTTTGGAATTTTACTCCAAGTTCTTCCGGGATTGTTGAGGGAGAGACATATAATAATGAATACAGCATTGCAGCTGGCCAAGCACTAGAGAGTAACGTTATACATGGACAAAGAATAAAATCATTACACTTAGAAGGCGAATGTCAGAAAATGGTCAGCTTTACGATAACGCCTTTGAAGGTTGGACAGTTGGATATACAGGGTTTTGTATACAGGTGAGTCTATATATTATTTTAGGGGTAAGACCTAGACTTCTAAATAACTGTATTTTATTTATTTAATGAAGAAAGCCTACAGGAGCTGTTATGCAAGTCCATAAGTTATATGTACAAGAAAATGTATTACACTAAAGCCTCTTATAAATAAACTAGCTTAAATTGATTTTAACATAAAATTGCTACAATAAATATAGTATAGCTACACAACTCTCAATTAAGTAGTAACGAAAAGAAAAATGTAAAACAGACCAAGTAAATCACTTAAAATACAAGTGCATGGTTACGCCCAGTAGACTCAATTTGGACGGGAAACTGGACATTGAGAGAGATAAATAGGAGCTAAAATATAGGAAGGAAGCTAAGACTGACATTAAATTTTGGTTCATTATTCAAAAACTTATACACAACGTAATAAAGAAATAATATTAATAATAGGGATCATGAATTTGGCTAACAGTTTTAATAATTTTAGATTAATCAACGCAAGCGATAGGAGACAAAATGAGAATAGTGTAGCAGTGATGGGAAAGTTAGCATTAAATGGATCCAATAAACGATTGCACATAACCGTTATTGATCACGCTCCGTGTTTACAGGTAATACATATATTATGATATAGTACTATACTTCAGTTCAAAAGTGTTACTAGTTTAAAACTACTAAATAGAAGGTATTTTATTTAACTTTTAAGTTGTTAATTTATAAGCCTTTTGATATGCAGCTAATAATAACGACATTGCTCCGACATATACCTATAACTAGCCGTTTCGCGCCCGCTTTGCTGGACGAATTTTATTTTTTTTCATATTTTTATTATTCTTCTTTTTAACTTCCCGCTAAGAAAATTGAAATATTTCGAAAATCGAGTTTTTAACAGATGTTGACGTTTAGAGGTTCTAGGAAGCCTCCCCGAATGTTTCCGCGGTGAAGTCCGTATGGATAAATTTTCATAAAAGTAAAACAGCAATAAAAAAAATATCCATAAACCATCTAGGAAAAATTTCGCATCGAATGGTGGTAGTTTCATGTCGATACGATCAGTGGTTTAGGCGTGAAAGAGCCTCAAACGAAGACCATTTTCATTATATATATATATAGATATAATGTCATAGTTTTTAATAAACAAAATAAAGTGTACATATCTTGCGAATATTTATTTTGAAATTGGAACAATATTAATCATGTTATATTATGAAATCATCTATTCTACGAACGGCCTAAAACATTTACTACTCTTTGGCTTTTCTTATATGCGTGTTTTACTATATCTTTTTACATTGAACTCTTATTTATTTGGTTCAATTAAAATTTATGAAATTACATAGTAAATAAATTTCTGCATAAGTTAATGCCTATTTACAGGGGTATGTTTCACATACTGGTCCTATATATTTGTTGAAAACTTAATTTTTAATTCTTAATTTTAAAAAATCACTTTTCTCGAAATAAAAAATTCTTCAAATTTTTTAAGGTGACATTCGCAGAAACAAACACGGAAGTTATAAGTGGTGAAATATTAACAATTGATATGGATTTTCGTAATGTCGGTCCCGCTGCAATGAATAATTTGCACATAGCCGTATCTCACCCCGAATGTATGTACGTAGTATCGCCTGATGACACAGACGACTTCAAGTATTTGTATCAAGACAAGTATAAAGAACCACCGGATTCTACGGGTTAGTATCATAAAAATAATACAAATGGTATAAGATCTATGACCCGTACGTCAGTTAAGAAATTAATACATGTTATAAATTGTAAATAAATAATTATGAAATTCTTAAATAGTTTTCGCAGTTTCGCATTCAATCTTTTTAAATATGACTTGTTTTCTTTTAGTTTGTATACATCTTGTTTTTAACACAGATTTAGAGTATTTATAGTTACAGCTGATAAATTGTTAATGTGCGCTCTGCTTTATTTTTTCTTCGAAGTTAATTAATGCATGGCATATATTTGAGACATTTTAAAAGTTTCTTCTCAAAAATAAAACAGATGAACGTACCGCCCGAGCACAATTGCGTTTACAAGCGGCGCAACGGCGTGTACGCTGTATATCACGTGGGGCGGACGCGGGTATCGGATGTACGGGCACGCTGCTCTTAAGGCCGCATTCTGCAGCGTCAACGTTATACATGCTCATGTATTATGAGACTGGATTGCGAGCTCGGCCCTATAGGCTGCTGCGACATGTGTTTCGCTTTACTACAAAAGTACGTAATTGCAAAACATTCTTAACATTGCTACTTTTATGATTTTCTAGAAATTATTTGTTAAGTTTTTTAGGCTATTTTAATAATAAAGTCCTAATCATTTTCCTATTTGCAGGAAGTTGTTGAAGTGTTAGTCACCCCTCGAAGATGTTTAGGGGAGAACGATGGCAAGGTTTTGGAGAACACAAGGTTCGCCGTAGAAGTGAAAAATATAAGCAATGAGAAAGAGGAAAATATATCCCTTAATGTGTTAGAAGTATCGCTTTTAAGCAGACAGTGGAAGCTAACTGATATCACAGGAGTATTAGACGTTAATAGCTCTTTGATCGCACGTGAACGATTACATCTTATATTCAAAGCGGTCAGAATTTTTGATGATGTTCCAGAGGGCGAAGTCAAAAATTCATGTCTCAAAGTATCCAAGGATGTAGTATCAAACGTCGCTTCTGTTAACAAACTTCCATTTTCCAAATTTGTTCTAGGCCATGTGCCGTCCCTTTTAGATAACTTCGATTCCCCAAACAACCGTGAAGATAGAACGGGATTGATCCAATCTATGTTTATTTTGAGGTGGAAAGCATATAATAATAAAAGTGGAACAACTACGATCGGGCAACATTGTCTCTGGCTAGACGGATTTAGCAAAACTATTTCACGGAACAGGGAGAAAATAGATCACGGCTTAGTTGATGATTTGGAAAGTAAATTGGAATTAAGCGATACAAAAGGGAAATCTGAAAAGTCAAATGTAGTTATATTAAGACTTGAGCATTCAAATTACGTGAATCATAATTTTAAAAGGACAAAGTTGTGTATTATACCAATAGCGGTGAATATAGTTAACTGCTATGGGGTTCCAGTCAATGTATTCATTGATATGTTCAAACAACAGAACAGGTAAAATTGCTGATTATCTCTGAATCTACTAAACAAGGCAGTTCAATGTATTTATATGTTTAGCTGTAGGAAATCTGTTCGAGTTATGTCGTAATAAAAATATTGTCATGATAAAAACGCAGAGAAGCTTTTAGCACTAGCTAAACTTCTTACTCTTCTTCTTCTTCTACTTTTAATTCTTCTTCAGTAGCACTTCAGTTCTGAAAAGCATGTTTGTGGCGCCACACAACCTCCTCCACTCTCGACCGTCCTCGGCAAGCCTTTGATGGTAGGACCTGTAAGGGCCTTTACTTGATCGGTCCAGTGAGTAGGGGATCGGCCTCGAGGTCTGGAGCCTTCCCCTTTGCAAGTCATGATGAGCTTTTCTAAACTTTCTGGATCTCTGCGTGTTACTACTTTTAAAACTATCTTCTAATATATTTGTGGTTTTTAGAGAGTCGACTGGCACGCTGGGCTGGGCTGGGGCATTAAATAATGGATTTGCTCCCGATTCAAAGGAGCTGGGTTTGAAAGTGACTTTACAAAAGTTTGAGTCTCGAAAACTGCAGGTACTTAGATATAAAAAGAAATAATGAAATACATTCATAAAACATCAACCGATTTTATTACCTCTACATATAACTATACACATATATATATATATACAAAAACTGGTATCATTCATCCCATTTTTAGTGAGTGCGTTGCCGGCCTTTGAGGGTGGAGCACACTCTAATTTTGAATAGTTGGAGGTCATATCTCTCAAAGAAGACCGCCACCGGGAGACGATTCCACAGTTCGTTAGTTCGCAAAAGAATTTGTCAAATGACTGCGGAATTGGACTTCTTTCGATATGCCAACCCCAAGCATACTGAGGCTGTGTAAAGTACTGTAAGGCAGGAAACGAACAAACCTGAGTCATTGTAGGGTTAAACTTAACAAGGTTGCTACTACCCCACACAGAAACTTTGTCCAGTATCGTTTCAATTATGAAAACAAGTTTGTTATGGTTCTCATCAACTTCAGATCAAGACATGTTCGGATGGCCGGAGTATAATGTGTCGATGGTGCTGTCGTCTGCATAGCAATGGATGTTATGGATGTTCAACAGGTCTTTGATATGCAGAACCAACAGGGTGGTACAACTGGGTCTAGGATTGGAGCACGCTCCGTCAACTAGGACTTTTATGATGCGTCCTTCAAGAAAATTCAGCCAGGCATCGGCAGAAGCCATCAAGAAACCGTATGATGGTAGTTTCGAACGAAGTGCCCTAAGCCAAACTCTATCCAAGCTAGCGGCCAATATAAGGAAGAGGCCCCTCTTAACACAGCTTCGGCCCACCTATGAGTCAGATAGGCAAGAAGATCACCAGCCAAGCGACCTCGGCGAAAGCCATACTGACGATCACTGATCAGACATCGTTTTCTAGACAATGAACTTATTTGTATTGCTTGCTTGCTTTGTGTCTTTAAATGATTTTTGTTTCAGGTAAACGCCTTATGTGCAATTCCTGGTACATATACCGTCGGTGCTGCCTTTTCCATTACAACAAACATTGAACCAGACAAAGTTGCTACTACTCAGCTTATTAATAATACCTCTTTATTAGTTGTTAAACAAGCCGGTTAAATCATTAATTTAATAGCAAAAAAATTGTTATTTATTGATAATATGTTAAATATTTTTCAATATGAATTTTCACGTGCTATGAATGGCTCAAAACACAAACATTTAATTTTTTGTTATATTCCTTTGGAAAAATCGTTTCGATTTTATTGCTGTCGTAAATTAAAAGTGTATACTAGTGAGATGCAGTGTATTTTATTTTAGAAAATATTCAATAAATAAACTTGAACATAACAAATCGTTCTATTTGATGAGTAAATATAAATCAGAAAAGTAGCCTTTGTGTTCTTTTGATTTTCATATATTCAATGGAAACGATGCAATAAAAATATATAACACGTTAACTAGTTTAATGCAAACGACCTTCCCCTTTCGCCCTTAGTTGGATATAGATCAATGACGAGACCTCGTTCGCCTCTCAGTATCGCAGAAACAAACAGTTTAAAGTATAATTTTTATATGAATATTCATAGTTGTTCATTAAAGATCAATCATATTTCATAAAAACTTCTGTTGGTCATGGCTTATCTTTAACCGAATTTATATGTGGCTAAGATGAAAGCAAATATGAAATATCAATTCAAACCAGAATATGTTTTTGGATTTTTTTTACTTTATGGTAAGCAAATACTTATTTTGTGGTATTTAATAATCTTTATAGAGTAGGTACCGTACCGTGTCATTACTAGACATTAATCCTGTTTAAAGAAAATGTGTGAAATAGGTAAAATTTTATAGTAATTTTGAGAGACATATGAATGAGCATAATCTAGACGGGTCAATGGTGAACATTTTTGTTAATTTGGGTGGGCCGTGGGTGTGGGTGATACAGTGCTACACAGTAGATACACAGACACTACGTACAGCACAACATGCACAGACCACAGAACTTACAGATGTATTTATTAATTTGCAAATATTATTTCTGTACAACGCCATAAAGATTAGGGTAGAATTTATAGTGGCTAAATACTATGGTAATGTAATGTAGTATTATGTGTCTGTGGTGGAATGCTAGTTGCTAGTTGCTACTGACGTGACAACTTAAGTTTTACTAGGTGTGACCATGCTGAATCGTTTCCTTTAACTCAAGCATTTAATGGCTAAAAATAGCATAATATGTAGATGTGATGGGTATCATAATATTTGGTTGTGATTTACAAACAATTATATGGAATAGAAAATAACTAAAACTATAAAAGCTTCCGATCGACTGGATAAAAAGGTAAAAGTTCATGTTGCGTTCACTGTGTCATTTACAACCTTAATTATACCTTAATACAATAATTAATATAAGTTTTTACAGTTTTCTTATATCAAAAATTGTGTTATTACTCTAAGAACTTGTCCACTCTTTATATCTCCGATCAAGATATTTTAAGAATAATAATACATATAATAAATAAGAATAATAAATTGTGCGTGTACTAGGTGTACACACGTAAGAAGTGAAACTTCTTTATGATCTTATTTTTCGAAAAATGATCTACTATATGCAACTTTACAGAAATTCGTTAAATTAGATAAAGTTTAACAAAAGGCTTTTATTATCATAGACATGAATACAAATATTTCATTTTACCTTATTACTACGAAGATTATTATAGAATTTCATTAATTGTAATAGAATTATTACTATCATTGAAAAACGTGATGATTTGCTACAAAATTTCTCCCATACGTCGATAAAGAAGTTTCATTCCAACGCCGATAAAGAAGTTTGACTTCAAAAAGCACCATGGCGCGTAACCGAAAAATGTGACGCGTAACGAAAAAAATTGTGCGTGTACAAGGTGTACACACGTAAGAAGTGAAACTAAGAAATAAGATCTTATTTTTCGAAAAATGATCTACTATATTATGCAACTTTACAGAAATTCGTTAAATTAGATAAAGTTTAACAAAAGGCTTTTATTATCATAAACATGAATACAAATATTTCATTTTACCTTTTTACTACGAAGATTATTATAGAATTTCATTAATTGTAATAGAATTATTACTATCATTGAAAAACGTGACGATTTGCTACAAAATTTCTCCCAAACGTCGATAAAGAAGTTTCATTCCAACGCCGATAAAGAAGTTTGACATCAAAAAGCAACATGGCGGGTAACCGAAAAATGTGACGCGTAACGAAAAAATGTTACACTAAATTTTTTTCCAACCCCGATAAAGAAGTTTCACTTCAAAAATGTTACACTAAATTTTTTTCCAACCTCGATAAAGAAGTTTCACTTCAAAAATATTATTCGTAATTTTTAAAACTTACTAACCAGGTTTCATAATCCTGTTTTATTTATCTTTGTTCTATTATGTTATGTTATAAAAAACATAAAATAAAAAATATTTGACGACAATATTTCGCAATAAACTACCTATTTACTTCTTTCCTTTTAAGCATATCTTTAATACTAATTCAGTACTTTAGAATGAAATAATCAATTTAATTGGAACTGAGTTAAAGAAGTTTAAAACTTACGAAATTATTTGCTTACATTATTTTTATGCTTTATTTTTGCGCTCCGAGTCACTTCAGAGAAATGGGTAATTAAAAATAAGGAATGACCACACTTCCGCGCGTACTTGGCCATGGCCACGGCCAGCCGCCAGAGTGGAATTGACTGGTAGCTAAATGGATAGATGGGCGTCCATCTTGAATTTCGCTGGATTTGTGCCGGTTATGTGATAGAAGTGTAATTTGTATATTGAACTTTAAGCTAATCGTTAATTTTCAAGACCTATATGTATGCTCGAAGTATTTATTGTTAAAAATTAGGATAACTGCAGGAATGTGTTAGGTATGCAATCTCCTCCATTAGATCATTTTACGAATAATGGCGTGCGTTTTTTCTCTGTGAAGACTTTCAAATTTTATTTCATGTCATCAAAGCATGAGTAATTTTATCGATTATATATTAGCAATGTGCATACATATATTACGATTTTAGTAATATAAATAGTTATTTCGTTAAAAATTAATTGCTTTAACTGAGTTGGATGTCGTTTTTAGGTTATACATCAATACAAGTGACTCGTAATTGTTCGTAATCGCTAGTAATGATCCCCAGTGACAAATTGAAAGATTAAAAATCAAATAACCAGTGATTGTGAAACATAAAAGTGACGTTGAAAATATTTTTATTCACAGTATCATTACTCAAGACATATGCGATATCTGGTAAGAGCATCGTCGATAAAACCTTAGGTTTGCAAAGGTATCATACGATGGCAGTACCTAGTAGAGCTCGGGTATATGCCGACGTTAACTCACAAAAGCCCAGAGAGTATTGGGATTACGAAAGCTTTGTGGTAGACTGGGGTAATCAAGAAGACTATGAGTTGGTTCGAAAACTTGGGCGTGGAAAATACAGTGAAGTATTTGAAGCAATGAATATAAAAAATAATGAAAAATGTGTAGTTAAAATATTGAAGGTAAGTTTCTTTTAAAGTTGTTTTAGAAGTCCTGTTTGAAAATGCCACTGTAACATTTTAAACTAATTAGTCAATTCATCTTAATAAAAATAACTTAGTGCATTAGATAATTGTGTACAGTTCAAGTGTTTAGTTGTATTATGCCTTTAAACAAGTTAGCAAGTACATTTCTTATTTAAATATTTTATTTGTCTTAACAAGATTAAAGCAATTGGCATACTAATATTAGTTTTTGTCTTGTAGTGTAAACTACTTGTAATATCAAAGATTTAACCGTAAAATTACTGGACTTACGGTTTGTCCATACCATGTAACATAAGAAGATGTACAGTTTTTTTTGTGTGTCTATATAAAGTCTACATTGTATTTATTTTGTTGATATTTTTTTTAATAAAGGCAAGTAGGTGAACTGTCTTCTGCGCCTGATACATGTCATAAACTTTTGATTTCAAGATATGCTAGTTTTCTTTCCTCTATAGGCAAGCATTAATTGGGTACTTTGAATGAAAAATCCACTGTATTCAGCCAGGTTCAATGGCATGACACAGTTACCGTTGAGAGTCATGTGCCACATTAGCCTAGTTAATACATTCCCACTTATATATATATATGGTTATCATTTTCTTTTTCTAGCCTGTTAAAAAGAAGAAAATAAGAAGAGAAATTAAAATATTAGAAAATTTAAGAGGAGGCACAAATATAATATCATTACAAGCTGTAGTAAAGGATCCTGTATCCCGCACCCCAGCACTCATATTTGAACACGTCAACAACACTGATTTTAAACAACTCTATCAAACATTAACAGATTATGATATAAGGTTGGTATAACATCATTAAGTTTACAATGCTAAAATTGTAATTATTGTTAATACAATATAATATTTCAGGTATTATCTGTATGAACTTTTGAAAGCATTAGATTATTGCCACAGTATGGGCATAATGCATAGAGACGTAAAGCCTCACAATGTAATGATTGATCATGATAATAGAAAGCTACGTCTCATTGATTGGGGATTAGCTGAATTTTATCATCCCGGACAAGAATACAATGTTCGTGTTGCTTCAAGGTACTTTAAGGTAAGCTATATTTGTTGTCAGATAGCTATTGTTATCAACAAAAATTAATGCTCAGTTTTTTACTTTCATTAAATTTAATTTTTAGGGACCTGAACTCCTGGTTGACTATCAAATGTATGATTACTCATTGGATATGTGGTCACTAGGATGTATGTTGGCATCCATGATTTTCCGTAAGGAGCCATTCTTCCATGGCCATGATAATTATGACCAACTTGTACGTATTGTCAAAGTGCTAGGCACTGAAGAATTGTTTGAATACTTGGATAAGTATCACATAGAATTGGATCCACGTTACAATGATATACTTGGAAGGTCAGTACTTTGTTTTACTTAAATAAACTACTAAAAATTATAATTATTTATAACAAAAGCATGGGCAAAAGTAGATAATTCTACTTTATGTAACTTTCAGGCACTCTCGAAAGCGGTGGGATCGATTTGTACATTCAGAAAATCAGCATTTGGTGTCTCCTGAAGCTTTAGACTTCTTGGACCGTCTTTTGCGCTATGACCATTATGAGCGCTACACGGCCCGTGAAGCTATGGACCATCCATACTTTTGTAAGTTCTTTCAATTTCACTAAAATATGTATTCTATTATGATTTTATAAATTGTAGATATTATGATCAATTGACAATGTAATACATATGTTATAAAAAACGTTTTTTTATACATTTTACTAAAAAGCATACTTACTAAAATGATAATTAAAGTAATCTACAATGATATCTCATTTTTACAGATCCGATTGTGAAGGAGCAAGGCAGAATGGCATCTTCTAATTCACCAACTCCAAATGTATTGCAGGGGGCAATAAATGCAAAAGAATAATATTTTAAATATTAAATAATGCTCTTTATAACAGTATGTTATGATATATATATTCACCCGTACAAGACTCTGGAAGATTTACATTGGAAACTTTGCGCTAATGGAGTTCATAAAAAACACAGAAGGGACACAATTGAGAAATTACTTTGATTTGAACTCTATTCCAGTTCTACTTTAAAGTATAATTTGGAAAGACATACTTTAGTGTTTAAATGTTAGTAAAATCTGGTTAATGAATTGTTTTAAAAGTGTTTTCATCTGATATAAAACCACCTCATCAGCCCAAAAGTTTTTTCGGAGAATTTTAAATGGTAGTTCCATTGATTCAAAAGGATCCATCATCTTTCTATTTTATGTGGTATACATTTTGGAGTTTAATTGCACTTGATCTTTGCATTTATTAACCTATGGTATTATTGTAATTACTTGTATGATATGATACTGATAACATCCACATACTGTTTTTAGATACTGGTTATTAGCTATGTTTTGTTGGTACTTGAGTTAAAATTTTGTATTTATTTTATAAAAGTGTAGATATGTGAGTAAATACAAAATTATAACTTTTTTCATTATACATGATTTTAAGGAATACCAGTAAAGTTAATTATTATGAATAGTGATGTTCAATAACATTGCTTCTATTAGTATATTTTCGATAAGTTACATTAGCTGTCCCTATAAATATAATATAGTTAAATCGAGTCAGTCTTCAGCAAAAATGGTGAGCTACATTGTTTTATAATTTATTTTTAATGTAATGACTTGAAGTTGTTACATCAAAATTTTCTTAATAAACAGACTAACTTTGCCTGATATGTTTGGATTTCTTATAACATTTGTTTGTGTAATATTTACATGCAGCATCCCAAATTGTCAATAAAATTATAACCTTAAGAAGATTTTTCTCTCCAAAAAGCATAATTTAGAGAAGAATTAGTGAACTAGTGGAGTATAGCTTATAAAGTGGGAATTCAAAGCAACATAATATCTTATTTCAACTTGATGTAGATACAGGACTGCACTTGGTACATAAAAAGTTCTTTCAAGTTTTATTTTATTTTATGTTGTGTACTGAAAAAATAAAAAATTTAGTTACTTTTAAGTCATTTGCCATTGGTATTATATTTATTATGTACCCAAGAATTCTAACTATTTTTTAGTACTTCAGAGTTGTTAAGACATGACAAGACATCCCAATATTACAGTTATGCTTTTATTAATAAGGTTGGAAAGGTTTATAAATGCTGATAAACAAATAGTAATCATAAAAATAGTACCTAGATACTTAACCTAAGCAGAACATAATGAAATTTATTTTTATGGTCTCGCATGAGCCACGTGAAATATACTGGCAAGCTAGTAATATGACTAAGACGTAAGTAAATAGATAAATCGTAAGCTACTTTGTTACTAAAAATGCTGGCCAGAATTGGTAGAAATAAATGGACAAGAAATTACATTTTAAATTTATTTCTTGGACTTCTCATGAGCCTCGGCCATTTATGTGTGTGAATATATATTTTTATCTGTTAGTACAGGCCAGGTCTTTGAATCACGCGAAGTACTCATTAAATATAGCTGCAAATAAAACAAAACTTCAATGCTTTGCTATATTTGTTTTAAATTCATAATAATTTTTGCTGCAACTGTAACAGAGTTCTTCAAATATATGAGGAAATACCTCCATTTTAGTTACAGATTCAAAGTCATGAGTTAAAAGACTTGCATTGTAGTCTCCAGAAGAAACAACTTTTGAAAATGCTGTAGCATCAGTAGCTGTCAACTTGTCAAGTTTTGTTTTTAAATTATTCTGAAATCAAAGATATAATATTTTTATATGTGGTTCTAAATAGCAATTACAATGATAAAACCCAAGGTTGCAGATATTTAATTTTGCCAATTATTAACTTTATTATTGAGAGTTATGGCCACTGGTATTAGAGGACAGTCTACTTAAAACTACCCTGTACCTTGTAAGATGTAACATTGTTTAGTTTTGGGACAATTACAAAAATAATGGCATATTGCACATTAAACTTTCATAAAGTGAGTTTGTTCAACTGCTAAGGTGAAATTGGGTGTAAACTTTAAAGAAAATTTACATGTTTAAACCTTGTTAAAGAAATTTTTCTATTGCTATATATACAGATGGAGTATATTCATGTGCTTTAGAAAAACAATAAATTATTTACCTGGCATATTTGACAAGGTTTGCCAGTATTATCATCTGCAGAACTAATTTTATCTGCTGTTTTACATATTGTTGATATTGTAGCTGGAGAATTTAATTCCAAGTCTGATATAAAGTTTGATATGAGTGACTGTAAATTAATTTCTGAAACTGATTTGTCCACAGATGATAAATGCCTTATTCTTGCATAATGATTTAATTCTTCATCTGTTATGTCTCTCATTGGTCTTAATAGCTTAACATCCTTAACGCGGCAATCAGCAAAACCCTAAGAATTAAGGTATTTTAAGCAAAAACATTGCAGTAACAAGTTGAAAGATAAGTATTTTTTACTTTACTACTTATATAAATTAATTTCTAAAGAAAAAGAGATTATTACAATTACTAATTATTCTTTGGTTTACCAAAGAAGTACATACAGCAGTATACTAGCCTTTTTAAATGTTAGGAATAAAATCATAAAAAGTAGGTAAACCACTTACAATATCATTTTCTATTTGAGAGCCTCTGCCCATCACAATATTTGATAATAATTTTGCTGACAACTTTGTATTTGTTTCAGAGGTAAATATTGAATTACATTCCAAATCTTTTGCCATCTTATAAAATACTTTTTGCCTAATTCTAGATAAAAAGTCTTTTTCTGCTGAGGGTGAAATCTTGTTTACAAAATTATTTATAGTTGGCATTCTGAAGTTATTACTTTTCACAGTGGTGTCTGCTTCATTATCATTTTTGTACTCAGTAATCATACTGGAAATGTTCATAGATATTAAATCAACATTATATTTCTTGCATTGATTCATGATTAAGTTACAGACACTGTCATCGGTTGAAACTATCCCTATAAATAAATAATGGTTAAAGTAAAATAATAATTTAACTATTCTGACCAGTTATTAAAAAAAAAGAAAACCACTAAATACATACATAGAATAAAACAATTGAGTGGATGAAACAAAACCTACCATTCACATGTAAAAATACTGGAGAAATTCGTAATTTTTTATGAGTATTTAAAGTTATCCCATTCATAACTAAATCAAGCAAAACAGAAGAAGAAATATCACCCGATAAACAAATCAAAGATTTGTTATCGTTGGAAAATTTTGTGTTTTTACCTATACATGCCCTGAATTTATGAATTATATTTGCTATGAAACATGCATCACAAAAGAAAAAGACTTTTCTTATAACTAATGTTCCTTCACTATTACATTTCTTGCACAACATTTCAAAGCTCTTAAATAATATATTTGTATGTTTAAAATGGGAAAAAGAATTTTTATTGTAAATTTTTATAGGTTGAAGTTAAGATTTAGATTTTCGACTATACAGTATACCAGGCCAGTGTTAAATTAAATAATACCAAATGTGTTGAGTATTGACAGCTGAAGTGATTACCACAGACTGAGAATAATAGAATATAGACCATATTAAAATTAACATTGAGTTTTAACTTTTGGCACAAGCACGATATGAGATATTAGCAAGCTAATCATAGCAAATACCCTATAATAAGATATGGAAACTAACTAGACTGTATAAGTTAGTTTCCATATCTTATTATAGTAGTCCGCTCAAATTAGACATAAATATAGTGGTCAAATAAAAATTGGTGGAGAGCCAAAAATTGGTGGAGAGCTTAATAAAACTTACCGTTTTCGAGAAAAATTCAAAAACCCTCAAATATTGTAGCACACATGATCGATGGGATTTTTAAAACTTTATTTGTAATGGTAAACCCCAGCTCTCCACCAATTTTTGGGTTTCCGGGAATTTTTGTTATTTCAAATGTATGTAGTGACCGGACTATAGGGTTTGTTCAGATTTCATTTGAACCGCTGACATGGCTGACGCGCTTTGTCCAAAATTTATATAGCTTACAAGAGAATCTTATGTGTGTCTGAATAGGTATAAGTATTTACGATATCGTTTGAACTTTGAAACATAATAAATGAATTGAATGTTGCTCTGTATTATTAATTCCCGCATCCTCTCAAAGACTCCGTCAAGTTATTGTGTGCGTTATTATTTTTTAATTAAAAGTAGTTACTACAACATAATAATCTATTTTGATTGATACTAACTTGTACAGTTAGTTGAGTAGGACAAGGAACAATATAAGCGCAAAACAGACTGCTAACTCTAAGAAGAATTAGCATAGAAACTTAGCTTGTGACCTATAATGTAGTGTTCGGGTACGGCATAATGTCATTCAGTGAGCAGTTGACGTTGCGATCCCCTTTTACGTTTTGATGTTACAATTGTGTTTGTTATGACCTGTTACGATGAGAATAGGAAAATCAGTTGGGAGATCTGGTTTTAAAAAAATTTCAACAGTCAGCGAGGTTGGGTAGATGGGTTGTTTAATTTTAAACAGTTTTTGACGTTGACCCAGCGAAGCAAATTTCATATTGCAAAAGTATTGCCTCCGAAAATGTCCCAACCTTAGGATTATGTTTGCACTGTGCGGACGAGGTCTGCTTGGCAGGTCTCCTCTCGAAAAGCACTAGTCAATATAATGTGAACAAGTTACGTTGTGTATGACTTTAACAAATGTATACACAATTTAAAAGAATCGATTCAATAAATATTTATGGTACGATAATACCTATCCGAGTTATAGAAAAATGGTAACTGATTCAAGATTGCGGTTAACGCACGTGTCGAGTTTAGTCGCCATTTTGGATTTAGACTCCCACTTAGTTCCTAAATGGTGATGAAATAAAATTTCTACCATGAATTAATGCAAGGTCAAACGCTAAGTAAATTGAGTGTACTTGTTCAAATAAAAATAATGTCTAGAAAAATATTGTTTATTTGTTTTAATAAAACATTACAAACTCAGACTTTGTTGAAGGCAGCTATGTCAACACTTTGTACCTGGAAGCAATAAAAAGTGTTTGTTCTATGAACTTTACAGTAAAGTTGATTGTTATTTAAAAATAAATTGTCTATTAAACTTATTCAGAACTATAGTTATAGTTATTATCTATAGGGTTGAACCCTTTGAAAAACAAATAATACTTACGAAATCTTCATTTTTCTCAATCTCTTCAGTAAGCCAATCAACTGATACTTTATCATCTTCAACTACACACGAAATTTGCAGCTTGTGAATTCCAAAAGCTAAGGGAACAAGCTTAGCTGCACCCCAAAGTAAGCCATCTGTACTTATATTCCTTACAGCCTGTTCCATTGCTTTCATATCAGTTTCATCATCCCAAGGCTTAACATCCAAAATTATATTTGACTTGGCAATAAGTACAGGTTCTGAAAATAAAGTGTTATAGATATTTTGTTTTTAGGTATATACTTTTAGTTGAAACATCTGATTAAAAAAATAAAACTATGGCATACAATTGTTTTGTACAATATACTTAAATTAGTAACAATAATCCAGTAGCAAAACAAATTAAACACCCATTTAATTTGTTTTGGTCAACTTTTTTTCTATAGGTAAGTTGAAGGCTGATTACCCAATCTGTACCAGAAAAACATAGTGAATTTTTGGTTCTAAGACCACAACCACTAGGCCAGTACTGCTTAACAGTATTTTAAGACGATAGTTTTCATTTAATGAATATATTGAGACCAACTTTTTGCTTTCTTGGCATTATATGCAGCAAGTCTTTCGTCTCTGAGCTTAGCAGCTTCAGCACTTTCTTCTTCATCATCAGATCCAAATAGATCAACACCATCATCTGATTCTTGTTCTTCTTTTGCTGCCTGAACCTTAAATGATATTACTAATATTAACCCAGCAAATTTTGTACCACCTAACAGTTTATGAATGTTGTGTTAAAGATTTGCTGGACTATACAATGAACACAAAAAAAAATTTCTGAATGCAAGTATAAATATTTGACAAGCAATATAATATATTATGTCAATCTTTCTTCATTACTGACATTATTGTACATTTTTAAATTCTATAATATCCAAATATTGTGGATATATCAGTTCATGAAAGGAATGAACATTAAATGTTTGACAATTACATAACCCATTAAACATGTATTAGATTTTTTTTTGGTGAAGCCATTTTAGAATTGAAGGTAACAAACAAACATGCCTTTGTTTTATATATTAAGACATATATATATATATATAAATGTAAAAATTGTAATTTACTGTAAACTTCAGTTGAAAAACTTAAAAGATTCTGATAAAAAAGGGTATTCCCAACATAGGTATAAAATATTTAAAATACCTTGGAGGCAGCTTGTTGTGGTTTGTCTTCAGTTGATTCAAGACCATCTACTCTAGCTTGAAGGCTGATCACTAGTTTGCGTAGTTCTTCCATTGCCTTCCTTAGCTCTGAGTTTTCTTGTACCAATTTGTTTAATTTTGAATTGATCTCAGTATTAGGTACTCCAGTTAAAGATGCAACACTATCCATCTGAAATAATTAAAACATGAGTGTGAATTAATGTTGCTAATTGTCAACATAATATTGAATTATATTTCCAGCCCAGATAATTTTACATGAATCAACAAGCTATATAGCATAACAATGTATATGGATGGTGTAATTTTCATTACTTACGCATTCTAGTGAATTTTTAATGTGTTGTCTTGCTTTTGCAACCTCACTAGCCAGAGATGATCCCACCACCACAAGTGGATTTATTTGACTCTAAATATAGATAAAATATTTATTGAAATACCAGTTACAACGAATTAAGACTAAGACTTTCATTAAAAAATTAATTGCTTATGAAAGGACGTAATCTTACCTTGTTAAGTGATTCATAGTAATTTTTCTCTGCCTCATTATACACATTTTTGTCCAGCCAAACTTTTTCATACATTAAAACAGACATCTGAAACGGTTTCGAATTCATTTATTTTGTATATTTTCAATTGTAATAGAAAATTTTCACAATTATTTTCAAACAAAAATTCGAGATTGCGAGGTTAGAATAAGCGCATTATTTATTAACAAATTAAAGTAGTTTTTTACGAAACAGTCGATAAAAAATAATATTATAAATGCATACCTTGTAGGGACCTTAAATTGAACAATTTAAATTCGATTTTTTAGATAGTTTCCAACTGAGCCAACGTTTTTATGGCAAAGGTCAAAAGTTTCATAGAACGAAAGTCGAGAACTCGTGTCGTTGCTTGACAAGTTGGAACTTGGAACGTCATGATTAAACATTTTGACTTTGACAGTTACGCAATGCCTATATAAATAATATAGACTATAGGCATAGTAAAGAAAAGGAAATATTAGATTAACTACCTTACAGCTCAATAATTTGCCCATTACATTGTTTACGCAAATCGCCGACTGCAGTTTCACCGACTATAGGCATTAGAGGCATTCTTTAATGCCTAATAATTACTTTAGTAAAATGTTAGCTGTGTGTATATAATTGTCTAATATATGTCATATGTGTACATCTCTGTGTTGAGTTTTCACATACATTTCAAGTTTTATTATGTTTATTATTATACTGTCTCACGATTTTAAACCTATCTACCAGTCTTTCCATGATCTACGATAGTTTCTTAAATCATATTAGGTATTATATATAAATATTTTATTATTTTTTTATTAAAATAAATATCTTATAGTACCTATCAGTTCCTTGTTGTTTCAATTAGGTGTGATTGTGTAAATTTGTATTTTGTCTCAATAAGCTGTATGCTTGGCTGTCATATCAAAAGAAGACACTATTTCCATAGCAAAATACATTCCAATCCTATTAAGTCCAAGGAATAAGTGTCATCAATCCTCAAGGAAAATTCCTCAATTTTCAGTTCGTTTTTAATAAAACGTTACTGATTATTATGGGCCACGAAAAGTTATAGCAGCATATTTCTATTTGCCAGCTCGTGCTGTGCTGTGGGTTTCGGATGCTTTTTTGAAGTTATACTTCTTTAGGCGCGTTATGAGAGTGAAATTTTACGATGCGCGCGCACCGTGACACAAAATTATCAGAATGAAGTTGCCCACTAACGAATTCTTTTTAAACCAGCCGGGCGCCGAGCTTGCGCGAGCGAGATGGGAATAAGACAATCTACAAGTAAAAAGAAATAGAATATGCGTGAAGTTAGCAGCTATGCCAAGAATTTTGAATGACCATAATGACCTTTGTAGTACCTTTTAAACAAATAAAGGAGTTTTAATTATTTTTTCAAAGAAATTTAGCAATGCTTTTTCACAAAGACCTATTGTTACACACATACACATACCTAGTTATTAAATTGAATGAATAATAAATTAAAATAATAAATAATAATTATTATTAATATTAATTAATAATTGAATAATATACTAAATATTAAATATTATTAAATTATTAACGTTAAATATTTATTATTAATTATTTAATATTAAAAAAAAATAAAGAAAGCCAAAGAAGTATAACTTCTTACGCGCGTACATAAGTACACCCTTGGGGGCCTCATAGTCTAGCGGTCTTATTAAGTGGCAGCTAGGTGAGGGGTACCGGGTTCGATTCCCAGTTCGAGGGCAAGTTTTAATTTAATTTAAATTTGTTTCGGCCTTTGGAAGGGTTTTGCGGTACCGGGCGAGTGCCTAAACCGTACATGGAGGACACGGTCGAATTTCTAAAGACAAGCACGAATTATAAAAAATCCTATACTTGACGCTGGCTAATGCACAAATCGTGCCAGAGCCATTAAAAAAAAAAAAAAAAGTACACCACCCTTTTTTTTCATTAAAAATAGAAGCCACTAAATAAAGAGAAATTGAGACAATTATTTAGGTTATAATGAATTCTTGTAGCTAATGAAAATTTCAAATCATATGAAATCTACTGCCTTTGAATTATGAGACAAGCTTATTAAAAACACCTCTCTGGTCCTGTCTTTTAGGCAAACTAGCAAGCGGTAGACAAACCATTCTACTGCTGCCAAAGGCTGATCTAGCACTAACGAAGTAAGCTAATCGTGATCTTCTTTATTTACAGTCACGATGTCGCCGGAGATATCGCATAGTATTTATACTGAGTTTTATAATCGTTAAAAAAGTTGACCAGTCTATATCTGACGTATTTAAATGTATTGTTAACACACCAGTAGAAATCTTAAAAAAATATGTTTTCAATTCTTCACATGCAAGTCCAGTATTACAGAAAGATCATACTCTAACCTACGTGGTAAAAATCTTTAAATATTATGCGAAAACGTAAGTTTTATTATTTTCTAAAGATAATTAAATAAAATGTTCTATTAATTTATTAAATTGAAAATTACGATATAGCATGATGGTTGTTGTATTCCGTTGTAATATTCGATGCAGTAGGTATCAAAGGTTTTATTCTAGTTTTATTTTATGTTAATTATCTTTTTAAAACTACATTTTTGTAACCTGAAAGATAACCTTTCTATAGATTATTATAGATGATATTCTGTCCTATATGGATACGTTTTTTCTAATAACTATAAACCCGATTCAATATTAGATGGACTATCTAGACATGACATGATACGACGACCAAATAATCTAAAAATATATATATATATATATATACTCGTATTAAACAAATAGACCTCAATCCATCATGATTTTGATTAATAAACATTTGTGTTCAATTTAAGCCAGATGATCCTTTTAAGAAATCTATAGTAATATTAAAGGGCTACTCTTTCTATAAATTGAATGCAATAATAACTTTTTTTCTTATATAATTAAGGTGAATAAGGACACTGTCGATGAGTGAAACTTGAGTTTCGCAAAGAAACTTTCAGTATTTGGATCGCAAATTTAGTAATGGCTTATGTTATAACTGATACTGTGGAAGCGGCGGCATTCATCGCCTCAGGCGTACAAGCCAACCAGTGTCTCGAATGTTGCGAACGTTTCTCTTTCCAATATAAAAAATATCTTTCATAATTCATTTACTTCGTTGGATATTGATTATATTTATAAATTAACTTTTGAATATTAAACTATTTCAATTCTTTTGTAATTATGTAATTACTATTGAGAGTATTAAACAAAACGGCTTTATAAGTATGTATATGTTGAATAAAACTATGTTGTAATATGACTCGAATTCTATAGGAATGAAAGTTCTATTTATCTATCCAGGAGAGCGATTGGGGTTGAGGGCTCCTACATGAACGGAAGATAAATTCGTCGTTTTGGTGCGTGGATGGCGCGGGCGGCGGGGAGGCGGCGGCGCGGCGTCCGCGCGCGGAGGCTGTTGCGCTCAGAGCACCTGCGCCCGCGCTCCGTAGCGCCGCTCGCCGTGTGCTCAGTCCCCGCGCCCGCGCCTGGCCGCGCCGCCCGCAGCCCGAGCCGCCGCCCCCGGCCACGGTACGTGACCCTCCGCTGGCGCGTCGGGGTCGGTCGACTGCGCGTTCCTCACTGCACCGCGCCGCTTGACGCTTGCTGGCGTACTCGCTTAAGCAGCTCGGCCGGTTTTGTGAATTTGCCGGGCGAGCTGTGACGTCACGATACTAGTTTGACGCGCGTGCGTGACGATCTGCGCCAGGACGTTTACCGCCCCCGACCTTAGTTTCAGTGCAATAGCGTGCTCGTTTGTGTTCCTTCCCATTTCAGTGATTTAGAGGCAATGGCGATTTCAGTTTATTTCCTTTGGCAGTTTACTTTTAACAGCAGTTCCATTCGTGGAACAACGATTTGTTTTGAGTTTTACACGAGTTGGTTTGCTTCGTTTTATTATCATATCATATCATATCATACGTTTTATAGTATATGGCTGGAAAATAAAACAAAGATTCATTGAAGGTAACATCGGGCCACCAGTACCTACAAATATTTCAACGTTCAATTAATTTTAATGTAAGTTTCCTATATCGGCATGCAGCGAGCGAGCTTTTTAAGAAGGTAGTGTTGCTTGTTTATCTGTGTGCGAGCGTAGGTACACTTCGACGTTCCAACTTCGCGGCGGAGCCTTTTTGTGTTTTTATTTTTCCTCCTGCCGCGAGACAACAACCTTTATACAGTATATCTATATATATGTATATGAACAAACGTATGGGTATGGGGGAACAGCGGGGCTACATGCAACGTAATTATTTATAAATCGTGAAATTGTTAATTAAAAATAAAAATAATGTATATTCGATATATTAGCTTAACGTTTATTTTGAGTTTAGGTCGGTTTAAAAAATAACAATGGTTTTGCTATTAAAACTTCAATTATAACAACAATATCTAGTTAGACACATTTGTTATGCTGGGATGGAGATTTTAGTATAAACCGTTTTATACATAAAAAATATGAAGCAATCAATTTTCTTGTTCAAATTATATCGAATTTCAACATTGGCCAGATATGATAATTATGCGATTCATAAACATATATCCATCCTTGTTTAGCTTATATACTACTACTTATAGGAACAAAAGCTAATGTTTTGTCTCTTTTTCACCCTTGAATGCCTTCGCAGTCTCCGTAATATAGGTTTAGCATGAAAGCTTCTGTTGCCTGATCAGAAAGTTCGTTCAAATTTGTTAGATTGAAGTATATTGAGCTTTTGTTTTTTGTACATGTTTTTATGAATATTCATTATTCCAGTGATTGTTATTTGAAGACTTTTTATTCTACATAGCATACAATAAATTCAGCGAAGGAATCGTCAGTACAATACAAATGAAATATTATCATTTTGGTGACTAAAATTTGCTTGATATTATTGTTATATAAAGGGTATAACAAGTTCGACAACCACGTGGATGTGTTATAGTCTTTCCAGTTTGTACCGTATGGTGGTGCTTCTGAGCGCCAGACGTGGTTCCTGAACGAGTTCGGGCCGGTCAGGTGCCACTTAATACTTGTTCTGCTCTAACTGGACTCGAATCAGCTGTTACCTGCTTTATTTGTTCTTTGTTTTAGTATTTTATAAACAAAACAAACCACTTTTTATACATATTGGGGCACAAACGAGCATGGTATTGCATTACGAAATATTTTATGATGGTAAATTTGTTTTATCTGTTTTATTATTGATGGGGATATTTTTTCAGAATTCAGAAAGAAGTGTCATTTATCGACAGCGGGGCGCTCTTGAGTGGCGCCTCCGCCTGCACAAAGACGTCCCAATCAACGAGTAACGCGGCGAGATGTCCGCGTCGCCGCAACCGGCGGGCGCGTGCGACGAGCGAGCCCGCACACCCAGAGCGTCGCCCTCTTCAACTCCCCGGTCCCCAGCTCCAGCTCATGCCGTGCTTGCCACTATGACACCTGTGCAGCCAGCACACGACTACTATCCTCACAAAGTAGAAATGGACTCTGACGACGGCTACCCGCCTGAAGCTCACTCTTATCGCCATTCTCCCCATGGGCTGGCTGCGTATGCACCCGATAACAAAGTACCAGTTCAGCCGGACGTATATGACCAGGGAATGGAGTCGATAGACGAAAAGACTCCTATAGATCTCATTTATGAAGACGATAAAGAGACAGTTATATATACAACTACGCCAGATCAGAAAAGAGTAGAAATGATCAGTGGTCAACTTGAAGATGGACAGTTGGTTAGCGGCAGTGGACAGTTGGTAGATGGAGGAGTGTCAGTCGTCGTAGGAGCTCCCGGACAAGGCACAGTTTTGGTGCTAGCAGATGAATTGGGACAAGTCATCACGATACCTAGGTATTTACAAACTTTTTATAACTCACCTCATATTTTATATTGTTTTATACCTGTGCCTCGCGGTTTAATCCTCGGAATTCGGTCATAGGGTAATGTTGTATAGTTTTCTTTGATAAATTGACTATCAAACATATAAATATTTTATTCATTCGATCTAGTCTCTTATGAGAATAGCAAATTCAACCAAGGAAACAAACTCTTCAGTTTTACAATATTAGTATAGATAGGTTACGTAAATCTTTATATCTGATATTTATTCATGCAAATTTTTATTTCCATCAACAGTGCAGTTGGTTTAATTTGGAATTAGTGTAATACTCAGTTGCATAAAGTAATAATAGGGTGGCGTATTTCGTATAGTATGTCTCTAAGGTCCAGTGTAACGGTTGTAGCACTAGGCACTAGGAGCGGCCTGTGTGGGTGGAGAGACGTGCTCACCTTGAACTTGCCGAGTCCAAGCCTCTCTCGCACCATGCGATCACATTTCGATGCTGCGTATTCTACCAACTTCAATTTAACTACTAATTATTGGGGTTCCATTGTTCCAGTCCAGTCTTAATGGTTACGGATTGAAAGATATCGATTTTTATTAGTATTTTCTAGCTTGTCTGGCTTTGTATCAAAGCATAATATTTTATTGATGTGTGACGAGTGTTAGGAAAAATTAAATATAATAATTTTTAAATGTACATTAAATATTTTTTTATCTATAATCAAATACATTTATACTTAATTAATTTTATTGTTCGACTGTAGTATTGTTTCATTTAGCACTTAGGTTTGATTCGAGGCTTGAAGACAAAAGAAATAATCTGACAATACTACATCGCAGTAATGCACCTTATATATGTATTCATTCACAACGTTATGTTAAATGCTTTGGTAGCAAATTAAATTATTACGTAGTCGATAATCAAAATTGATTCTAAACAGTCAAGTCATATAATAAAGTTTGGAACTTTAACACATTTGTTTAGAACATCTGAATTTGGTTATAAGCTATTTTAAATGAACATATAATAAACTACACTTATAGATTAATATAATCTATTAAAAAAATATATAGCAGAGTTTTTTAATTTTGTGTCTATTAATTTTAATTATTAAAGTATTAAAACTATAGTATATTAGCTTTCCTCGGCGCTGCCTACTCTCTTGAGCTATTAATTAAAATGTGACTAAATTTTACACCTATTTACTATATACTACGAAAATAATATCGAAAGCTGTAAATAATTGTAGAAATGTACAAAAATGTCTATGCTTAACCTATAACACAACTATTTATTTAATATCTCCATAGAATTGAAAACGCATGTTCATAAAAAACCGTTGTTAAGATAGGCAAATGTAGGATTATAAAGGTACATCTAATTATAATTGCGTTCATCGTGTATCTAAAGGTTTGATAAGGGAATTCAATATAAAAAAAGCTTTTAGTTAAAATGAATAAATAATCTCGATATGGATTGGTAGGTGAGTGATAAAAACTCGGCTGAATCGTTTAGGACGCCGAGAGGCAACGCAGCCTCACCCGCCGCGCCTCCAAGGCTTTAATGATGACTTTTTGTTATTATGTGGTACAAACAATAAGCGTTTTATTTGTACTTTCTGTATATAATACTTATACATTTTTTATATAATATTATCTATCAAGTAAAATATATTTACGTTTTTGTATTATGCTTATATAGTACAATAATCTTTTGTTTGCGTCTCTCTATTAATGAAATACGTATGTATACTAAACAATTTATTTATAATAGACAAGTAGTTCTACAATTTAGATAATATAGTATAAGTTTAATTTATAATTCTATTAAATAAATTCGCTAACGTTTATGCCTTGTTCGATGATCGGGCGACAGCGATCCCCCCTCCGCGCGTTCCCCTCTCCCGTTTCTCTTATTTTATTGCCTCGCACTCGTTGCGGTGAACCCTCGAGATGAGCTTACGATCGCCTTCTTCCCAATAATTATAATTTAATGTAATTATTTTACTTAGTTATGTGATAAACTTTGGAATTCAGTCATGCTTTTTAATTTATTTAATGACATATCGTTAAAAGTAATTCTTTTTTTAAGTTTCATAATTTTCGTAACGTTATCTTTAATGCGGAATTTCTTTATTTAATACCACCAAAACAGATATATGTTATTCAGTTCCTAATATAGTAATTATTAATATAATATATAACATTTTTGGAAATTTATTATATATTTCCACTGTCGTAAAAGGTCAATAATAATAAAAGCGGGATGCGTTGACTCGCTAGTGAAAGACTTCAACGAGCGCACTGCTTATAGCAGTGTAATGGTTTTGTCGTTGAATTTTAGAGAAAGAAAAGTTAAAATGTTTAAAATTTTAAGGAAATGTGGAAGTATAAAATTGTACTACTACGTTTTATTAGAAGATAGGTCATTCATAAGGTACACATATATGAAAAATCAGTATTGGTTAGCCTAATTTCAGTTTCAGAAACAGCTGTAACAAATGACATCACCCTCACATCTTTCGAAGTTAATAATAATGACCGCAAGTATAAACACAAAGTTCAGTATGTCCTTTAAAAATTAACGATCATCCTTTCTACCTGCCGCTGTCCGAGTGCAAATAAAAAACGTTTCCCCCGCATAAAGGGTTCATTTCCCATCGCAGGTTGTCTCACACATGAATCAGGAACACACAGATAAAGCTTTGGGCAATACGGACCGAACTGATATCTCAAATACGTTTTCATAGCGAACGAATGCTATGGATCGGATCTTAGTAAAAAGTTTTACGTATTTCGTATTCAAACAAAAGTATTACGAACCTCGTGTAAATGTCGAAGGAAAAGACAACAACATTCATGATTACATTTTTTTTATCATTTTGTGTTATAATTATACTTTTAAATAAAATGATTAAATTGTTTACGGTAGGTATTACAAAAATTTTATGTTATCAAAACTCCAATGTATTATATTTTGTTTAAAAATGAGCCTTATACATTCGTTATACAGTTGAATGTTTTAACGTCATTACTTATTTTATTATTTATTATTCAAAGCGATATCTAGCTTTTTTTGTCGGGGATTCTTTTGCGATTTCGTTAGAACTGATACATTCATTTGGCTACATTGTGTGTAATAATATCACGAACGAAAAGACTAACTTAAATATAACCTAAAGTTGGCTGAAATGTTACCTGCTTAAGCTCTGATTCGAAATTATTCAATAAAAATCTAATAGGAGACTTAGGTACCCTTGCAGATGTTCAGAGGCAACAACCACCAATTTTTAAATAGTGAGAAACTCTGACACCAATTAAATATTATTTTAAACAAAATATTTTTCTATAGATAATGATATATATTAATCACCGTATTTATCTTGAGTAATTCTCCTTTACGCTCTAAATGGAGTTTAAAACGCCGGAAATTAGCTCGTTCTAAAATAATTTCTATCTACTCTAATTACATAACGCTAGGGTACTATAACCTATCGCCCACGAAAGGCCGAACACCTGCAAGTCTTGCATTTTAATTCAATGTAATTTATATCTATTACTTTAGGCGAAAAACTTTTACATAAACTATTAAAACATAAAATTAATTATTAATAAACCCTATTTTTGCTGTACGTAGGTATTAATACTATTACTAGTATAACTCTTTAGAATTAGTTCAATACACTATATGTACACTATACTTATAATATTTAAACACCGGAAAAGGTATTTATTCCTGTTTCAAAAATAAATTTTATAGTCTGCTTGGGAATTGAACTTTAAATTATGTATTTCATCATAGCATTATAGAGTTTCAAAACGATTAAACAACTTTGCATAGATTTAGATATGTATCTATAAAATCATTGACTCGTAAAATCGGAGAAACTCTTTATTCATCACATTGACATAGTGAACATAATGTTACACGGTGTGTTTGTTTGGGTGCGTTGTTTGAGTGTGTGCAGCAGCTTATTAGTAAGATAAAGACAGAGAGATTCTGTGAGACTGAGAGAAACAGACGTCAACAAGGCTAGCCTTACCATATATGTATTTATAATATGAATGTTCGATTTTATTAACTCCATTCGTTATACCATTCGACATTTTAATAATAATACCGAGAGGTAGGTAAATGCGTTCAAGTTATTTTTTTTCCTTTTCGATAGTTTTAGTTGGATACTTTAGAACTACCTATATATGAAAATTTATATACTTTCAATAATGATCCTTCTTTATAGAAATTAGTGTTTTTGTCCACTTCCAATTTGTTCATTAATATAATGATCCAACATAAATAAAAAAGATTATAAAGTAGGTAATGGAAAGATAAGACGCGGTCGTATAAAATCAACGGAAAGATGTGTTTCTCACAGATTAAGCAATATTAGCCTCTGCTCTGTATTTTTTGTTAATTTAGCTTGAATTGATGGCGACGCGATTTGAATTTTAAATTTTATAACATGGTTTACGATGTACTATAAAGTTTATTAATTTTAAATGTTTTATTTTTATTTTCATATCAGATATTACATCTACGTCACTTATCTTAATATTTAATTAAATGGTAAATAATGAAATATTTAAAGTGTTGCGATTAAGAGTCAATAAATTGAAATACCACACCAGACAACTCGATCTATTTTTGTTGACATACCTACTTACGCATTTAAGGTTGTACATTCACTTGTGTTTACATTCGAGTAGTGGGTAGTGTAAACACTGGGCAGGGTCCGAAAAAGCGACATTGTTGCAAGGACTACAGCTCAAGGGCACCCCTCTCACTCACAACCACGTCATATTCATTTTAGGTAGTAAAATTTAAAAGTAAATGAAGCGAAAACGCGACCTCAGGATCGCAGCATGTGCTTTGATATATCAGGAATGCTAAAACATCAGGGATAGTTTATACTTTACAAAACAAGCATTGTTTTTAAAGCAATTAATGTTAAATTCTTAAGTAACTAGCTATATTTATGCGACTCTTCTTTTTTTTTAAATTGCACTATTAATTTATTGCGTCATAAAAAGATACAACGGATATGGTACACTTTTAAGGAGTAGAGCATTTTTGTATATGCGTGTTTAATGGTTTATCTCGGCATCTTATAATTACCGCTCATTTTTTGCCCGATGCGAAGCAAGGACAGTTTCTTGACGTACTCAAGGAATTCGCTTACCTATAGCGCGCTTAAAAAAGAAAGAGTTAAAGGGACGATATGGAATTGTTTTTTGTACAGTAAGTGCCGAGCGAGCCTCTGTCTACGTACAAGGAGACGCGATCCACCACGTCTGCACCGCGCAGCGATGTAAATGATCCCCTTGAATAATGTATCCCTTTCTTGGTCATCTCCTCTCCTAACATATAAGGTACAAGGCAATTAACCGTTACTTGCAACCGCTTTCTATCGACATATACAAAGAAATACGTTAATAAGTATTATCGAAGATGTACTTGAATAATGTTTTGAAATCGCATAAACATTGATTTGATTCTTTTCACAGATTCGTTAATATGTACTCACAATATACTATACTTATATTAATTATAAGTTTGGGCTTTAAAA